CTCGCGGCCCGGCCAGGAACAGGGCTGCGGGCCCCGGCGGCAGGCCCGGCCTCCCCGGCGGAGGAGACCCGCGGTCTGCCCAGCTCCTCCGGGGACGAAGCCCTGATGGGCGCCTCGGAGGGTTTGCCCGTGTGCCTTCTGCAAGTCTCAACGAGCAAGAAGCGAAAACCAAACAGCCTGCCATTGTGTTTCAAACAGAAATGCGTTTGATGTCTGGAAAACAGCACTCTTAGCTAAAAATATATGACTTGTAGGACCATTTAGGTTTGAAAAGACCTTTAAGATCATCGAGTCCAACCATTAACCTAACACTGCCAAGTCCACCACTAAACCATGCCCCTCAGCACCATGTCTACACATCTTTTAAGTACCTCCAGGGACAGTGACTCAACCACTTCGTGAACAGCCTGTTCCAATGCCTGACAACCCTTTCTGTGAAGAATTTTTTCCTAAGATCCATCCTAAATCCCTGGCACAACTTGAGGCCATTTCCTTCTGTCCTGTTACATGGGAGAAGAGACCGACCCTCATCTGATTACACCCTCCTTTCTGGTAGTTGCAGAGTGAGAGGTTTCCCCTCAGCCTCTTTCCCCCCAGATTAACAACCCCGACTCCCTCTGTCTTTCCTCACTAGATTTTTTCTCCAGACACCTCACCAGCTTCGTTGCCCTTCTCTGGACACGCTCCAGCACCTCAATGTCTTTTTTGTAGTGAGGGGCCCAGAACAGGACAGAGCACTCGAGGTGGGGCCTCATCAGTGCAGGGGGACAATCCCTTCCCTAACCCTGCTGGCCATACTGTTCCTGATACAGGCCAGGATTCTGTTGGCCTCCTTGGCCACCTGGGCACACTGCTGGTTCGTATTCAGCCAGCTGTTGACCAACACCTCCAGGTCCTTTTTCCACCAGGCAGCTCTCCTGCTGCTCTTCCCCACACCTGTAGCGCTGCATGGGGTGGTTGTGTCCCAAGTGCAATACCTGAAGTTAGCTTTCTGTAGAAAATGAGGGGAAAAAAGCAACCGAGCCAGGCTGACAGGGTGTTGCACACAAGCCTGCACTACATGAAGCATGTGAGGTGACTCTGTGGCCTCTGGAGGAGCACCTCGCTCTGAGAACACAGAGCAGGGACGTGGGGACAGCTTTGTGCTCTACAGCTAGGAGGGCCTGTCCTGCTCTACTTGAACTAGGTGAGCACCCATGCTGTCCTCAGGAAAGTTCACCAGTTCCCTAGCAGCAGACTTGCCAGCTTGCTGTTGAACATGCAGGCTGTCTTTTGACAACACCCATTAAAACACGGTTCTGGTTTTGAAAGGTTTTTAAACCCAGAAGTCCTTACAGCAAAACGTGACCAAAACTCCCGTACCAAGAAATCATGGGCTGTAGTGTCTCTGCGCTACCACCTGTGGTAAGTGCTGCTTAGTTCTGGGGCATAGCGTTCTGAAAATCAGTAAATTAGCTTAGCGTGACTCCAGTGCAACACAAGCAGATAAATCAAGTAACAGGGAGCAGCACTGGCAAGCACGTTGCAAATGATTCCTTCTGCAGCCAGCACAGGGCTGGCAGACCCAGTGCTGAGCTAGAGCTTATAAAACCTGGCAAACCCAAGCTGTGACTGCATCTGTGGTGCAATTAATCAGTGACACGAACAATCTGCCTGCAGATAACTATAAGCTGAGTATATGTACAAATTTAACAACTCACATTAATTAATACTTACAGCTAGATTGAAAAAAATATCACTAATATTTGGCAACAAATAGCAAATATCATTACAGCTCACAAGTGTGAAGTTCATGCATCAATAATTATGAGACAGATAGCAAAGTCATGATACTGTACATGTGCATTTTGACTTTGTAATTTAATTTTGATCTCCCTGTTATTATCATCTCTTTTGATAGACAATTAACATAAATTATGTTACCATAGCACACAGAAGCCCCACTCACAGGCACTGTTGCCTTGAGTGATACACAAATAGAGAACATCACCAAGTATCAACACAGACCTATGAGACAAAAGATGATGAAGAGATGATGAGAATGGTCAGCGTGCCAAGAACAGATCTTTGCATACTAGCAGCTTAGTTACTGTCAATTTTTATAGGCATCACACTAAAAGGGAGGGAAGGCTTTGCATGACAATAACAAGAGGGCTTTTTATTTAGAAATTAATTATATTTTCTATACTACATTACCAGTGTTCCTCACGGCCACGTCAGTTCAAACCAAGAACAATTGTGTCAAAACAACAACAATTTCTGCTTCTCCTGTTGCTCTGAAGTCTGCAGTCCACATGGGGTAGCTTCAGCAGTCTTTCCTTCTAAATCCTAATGTTAGGGAGGATAAGTGACCCAAGAGGGTCACGCTACCTAATGGCAAAAGACAAAGCATGACAGGCCACAGCATCTAGGTAATCTCTAGTCTCCTCTCTTCTGAGAAAGGGGTCATCTTCTGGCAAAAAAAGGCAGGAAGTTCAAACAATCTCCTAAAATCATCCTAAGCAGCTGCTCACCCCCAGGTGTCAAGCAAATGTAGAAGCTAGTGCCTGAAATTTATAGCTGGTGGCTTTTTAAGACCATCCTTTCCTGAAATCTTGCAACTTGCAAAAAAGTCCTGAGCCCTGGCAATGTTTCAGGTCCATTAGCTGTCAAGGCCCGGAGCGCAGCCCCCTTCTAGAAGTGCTGCTGGCTATGTTAGAGTTTAGCTGGCTGAGTCCAAGGTCAGCTTCTCTGCTGATAAGACCTGTTGCAAAGAAACCTAGAAACAAGAACCTCCCTCTACTTTCCCTTGGGAACTGCTTTTAAGCTGAGGCTGTACTGCTGGCCCTCACCTGTGCTACATCACAGCTGGGCAGCAGCAACACCTACACCTGGTTTCCTACCTCCTCGATCCTGACTCGGATCTGCTGGCTGGGCTTCCTGGCTTGGTCTTGGACTTACCTCATCACTATGGACTTGCTGTGTGATCACTGGACTACGTCTGACCCTAATCACTGTCTCTGGCCCTAGTCATGAACCAAATGTGCTGCTGTATGTCCTGCTTCTTCTTGGTGAGATCTCTGCTCTCACTTGCCTTGTTATTATGCTCCACCTGTGGCTCCCCTTCACTTGCAGAGCAGTCAGCCCTCCCTGCCTCCTGACATTGTGACACTAAACCCATTACTGCACTGCCATGCTTGAAAATTTAATCACACAGAGATGTTGACATGCAGAACAACTGCACTGACTGTCCACAGAAAAAAGAAGCATAAGCCACATGAGGTAGCAGAGACACACAGATTTGTCTGTCACAGCTCAGCTACCTTATCACAGCAATGCAGCTGCTCTGCACACCTTTGTTTCATGTTAAATTAATTCCTACACTTCAAGGTTGTGTAAAGATTGGTAAAGCCAGCCATCAGGACAGCTCTTGACTTGAGGGAAGTCTGCAGAATCAGAACCAGTTCTTGCATGGGGCTCGATAGGACTGCTGTGGCTCTTTAATTATTCTTGGCTGCTGGACTGGCCCTGGAGGCTGTAGAGCAAAGCATACAGATCGTCAACATGCATATATTATGATTATTACTAAGCTGCAAGGCCTGTACATGAACTAGAATCCTCTTGAGTTAGGTTCAGTGTACACTGTGTATAAACAGAATACAGATGCACAAACATCTAAATATAACATAGGGGATGACAGACACACACAGATATAGGAGAACCATTTTGGGTAGTATGATAGATAGGGGTCTCAATACAACAGGAAACTTACCATTATTGAATTTCATCACAACAGGAGACAATCTTTAGGGAAGGTTTGGAGAAGAAAGATGATCCATTTCTGTGGGTATTTAGGACACCTGGGACAAAAGTAAAGGAACCGATGAAAGAAAATAAGATGACAATGAAAGGGAATAAGATACTTATCTGAAAATTCAACAAGTGGCTATAAAAAATCAATGTAATCAGCTGATGAGAGGCAGGACCCAACTGCTTGGTACAAAAGATAGATAATGTCATGTGGGAGATAGGCTGTGAAAGCCAAGATCAAAGAAAATAAGGTTCTGAGAGTTCGGATAAAAGATGAAAACACAGAGAAGTGATGTGGATGGATGGGGAGCACCGTGTAGTAGAGATCTGATACACAGAGAATCCTAAAGACTTAGAGTTAGACTTTAATAGGTGATTTATGTGATAGTTTTAGCTGAACCTGTGTCTGCTTTGGAAAAAGGGATCGTCTTACTGGTTTTGTACTGGCTAGATGCCCAATAAACAGACTGTTAATTTATCTTTCATTTCCGTACTATTTGACTGTTCCACAATTACACAGTCTAGCAAGCTTAAGCATTGAACAAGTGATTGGCATAATCTAATGTGATAGAATGACTCAAAAAACAGCGGATGCCTGTGAAAGAACCAAATTGCCTAATTTAGGCATTCATTCACTGGGACAAGTGAAGAACGTAGGAAGGGATGGACACCATAGTCATGTGTGCATTAACAGAGTAACAGTGGTGCTATTTCCACCTTTCGCTGCTTATGCAAGTATTAATTGGTTTTGTTACATTGTTTCTCACTATAGTCATCCATTGCTGATTTACTCCCCCAAACTACCCAAACTGCACTTCCACACCTCATCCAGTCAGTCTTCTATGTCCCAAGATCTCCCAATAGAGAAAAGACTTTCCTGCCTAACTTATTTTTCCAAAAATGTCTTCTTGGCCTTGCCTGCCTCCTTAACTGAAAGACTCCCCCTCAGTCGCCCCAAGCGCTTCTAACATCTAGTTGTTTCCCACTGCCACCGTGCCAGCGTGGTTCCTAGCTCCTCTTGCATTCTGTTTCCTCTCACTCTCTTTCTGTTGTTGGTGACTTCTCCAAATTTTCCAAAGATAATTTCTGAAATCTCAATGTGTCCTCTACATCATAGTGTAGGAAATGGCGACTCACTGTCTTATTGCACTGCAAAACTTTAAATGTCTGTCTTTAAAAATTGTCTCCTCAGGCATTCAAAATATAAAAGCTGGCATGATTGAATGTTTTAAGAAACAATAGTTGTGTTGATTGCATTTTGAAATGTCATAGGATGCCAGAGTACATCGCCCTAAAACGTACATTTGTGTGTTTTAGTTAAATTCACAATGGTAGAAACAATAATCAAAATGCAAAAAGAGGGTACAAATAATTTGATAGATTGTTTTACAAGTGTTTTATGGTAACCCTAATGGAAGTCTGTGCTATTTAACTAGCTGCTTTCTTTTTCTGTTTTTTTCCTTTGATTTTTACAGCTGTTTCCAGAAGAATATTTTCTTGTACAGAAAGCAATACGCAACAGTGCTAAGATCCCAATGACAATACACCAAGAACAAGAATGGAAGTAAATTTATTCAGCAATTCCACTGTTGTAAACAGTTCATCCATCAACCATAAGCAGTTAGAAGGGCATAGCCTCTGGGAAGTCATTACTATTGCTACTGTAACAGCAATTGTAAGCTTAATAACCATAGTGGGAAATATTCTTGTAATGATATCCTTCAAGGTTAACAGTCAGCTCAAAACTGTCAACAATTATTACTTGCTCAGCCTCGCCTGTGCAGATCTCATCATTGGAATATTTTCCATGAACCTTTATACATCTTATATACTCATAGGCCACTGGTCTCTTGGAAGCCTTGCCTGTGACCTGTGGCTAGCACTGGACTATGTAGCTAGTAATGCCTCAGTAATGAACCTCCTAGTCATCAGTTTTGACAGATATTTTTCCATCACAAGGCCTTTAACGTACAGGGCCAAGCGCACACCTAAAAGAGCTGGAATCATGATTGGCCTGGCCTGGCTAATTTCCTTCGTGTTGTGGGCACCTGTAATCTTGTGCTGGCAGTATTTTGTGGGTGAACGAACAGTACCACCTGAGGAGTGCCAGATACAGTTTTTATACGAGCCCATTGTCACCTTTGGTACTGCAATTGCTGCTTTTTACATTCCAGTGTCCGTGATGACCATTCTGTATTGCCGCATCTATAAAGAGACAGAGAAACGTACCAAGGACCTTGCTGAACTGCAGGGTTCAGAGTCTGTGGCAGAGTTTGAGATGATAAAGCCTCAGAAAGCTTTCCTGAAGTCTTGCTTCAGTTGCAAGCAGCAAAACGTAACCAAAAGAGAGAGGTGTCAAGCTTCCTGGTCTTCATCTAGTCGAAGTACGTCAGCTACGGTGAAAGCCTCTCAGGCAACAAGTACTTGTAACGACTGGGCTAAGGCTGACCAGTTAACCACCTGCAGCAGCTATGCCTCTTCAGAAGAGGAGGATAAACTCACTGCTGATTCCGTTTTCCAAGTAACTTACAAAAGTCCATCTAAAGGTAAGGCAGAAGAGTTTAATGACAGTACAGATGTTGTTGTCAAAGACCAACCTGAAGAAAATGATTTTGAGAATCAGAAATACTTTTTGTCTCCTGCCAAAGGCCACGTACAAAAAAGTAAAAAATGTGTGGCCTATAAATTCCGGTTGGTGGTTAAGGCTGATGGCAGCCAAGAAGCCAACAATGGTTGCCGTAAAGTAAAAATAACTCCTTGTTCTGCTGCTCTGTCGAAGGATCCTTCCATCAAAAGCATGGATCCAAATATAAATAACCAAATAACCAAAAGGAAACGGATGGTTCTTATAAAGGAACGCAAAGCAGCACAGACTTTAAGTGCCATTCTTTTGGCTTTTATCATCACATGGACTCCCTACAATATCATGGTTTTGATCTCCACATTCTGCTCTGACTGCATTCCCCTGACACTGTGGCACCTTGGATATTGGCTATGCTATGTGAACAGCACTGTTAACCCCATGTGTTATGCCCTCTGTAACAAAACTTTCAGGAAAACTTTTAAGATGCTGCTTTTCTGCCAGTGGAAAAAGAAAAAAGTGGAAGAAAAACTGTACTGGCAGGGCAATACCAGACTGCCATAATTACTCTTATATAAGGGGTAAGAGGGAAAATAGATCTTGATGTATCCTAGTAAACTGACTGCAATTGTGTCTTTTCAAAGCTGTTGCTTTCTATGTCTAGGGGTTAAATAATCTGCAGAAAAGTAAAATTTTGCATGAAAGTTGTGTGCTTGGGATAAAGAAGTCAGTGGCTGCTGTGAGCAGCACAGGGTATTTGTGATTATGCAGTAGATCTTCATTAAAGCTATTATGTTTGGGATCTTCTGTCCTTTCAGCATGAGAAAGTGTAGAGGAAATTATAAACTACTAGAAACTAGAGGGGGATGGTCATCCAGTCGTCAGGTCAGGTCACCCAGTCTATCTCCTTGTAGTGCAGAAACTGTTTCTTCCTATAGTTCATTTCTTCCTTTCCAGTGTATTGTCTATTTAGTTTTCAAGGTACCAATCAATGGAGCTTGCACAACTTCTGGTTTGAGACTTTTCCACCTGCTGTTGGAATGAAACAAGGACTATTTAAAGGGGGAAATGCTGCACCCAATACTAAATGTTCAGGGAGATTCATAATACTCCAAATGAACATATATTATAGGAGAATGTAATACTGAGAAAATTTCAACTTTAAGGATGACTTTTCTGAATACATAGGAAGGGCTCATAGTCGAGGAAATAGATAATGTATTTTCTATGTGAAGAAGCCAATCCCAATCTCAATTCCATCATGCAAGTCACTGTCATCTGTAAAAAATGGTGATGTTTAGCAGGTACCTCTGAAGTTCTCCATTTCCCAATGCCTCTGAAGGAAATCTTAAAATTTTATGCTATAGTGACAATGGTACAAATCAGAACTGACTGTAAAGCTTAATGGATATAGTCTATCTACTTTACAACATAAGGGAAGTCTTTTTTTTGCAATCATCTCCTCTGTTGTGCTTCTCCTTGCTCCAGAAGTTTCCATTGATGGAGTAATCCAGAACAAGAGAAAAATACGTATTGATAACCTGTGCACTTACCTATATGTTATGGATTATTAAAAACAGTGACAGAATTGGCATTTCTGAAAGAACAAAGATTTTTAAAGTAATTTTTAAATATTTCTACAAAACTATTAAGGAAACTTTGCATTTCCATAGCATTTTTTGTCTTAAAATAGTTTTATAAATGCTAATTAACAGTAGGTGTTTGGAAATATAGTTTATCTCCAGCCACTGTCTTCTAGTCCAGCAGAACCATATCTGCTATAGTACTGGGGCCTGGAGTCAACCTCTTTGATGGCTGTGGCTTCTGGGACTGGGCTGTACTGGCCTAGTTACAATAAGCTGAGACTCTGGCCCACTACCTGAAGTTTGCCAGGGCGTTGGGTATGTGCTGAGGACACTTCTGTGGCAGGGGTGAACTGCACGTGCCTGCCTGAGGTCTGTGTTAGGTTGGCAGGAGCCCTGCAACATTGACTGAATGCCTGAGCGAGGGGCTGCCTTCAGCAGAAGGCCATTGGAACAGAGCTGGTGACCTGGCTCTTTGTGGTGGAAACAAATGTGAAGCCTCAGAAAAGTTCACAAGAAAACAAAGTTGTCAGTGACAGGAGTCGTAAGGAGTCAAGTCCTAAAGTAAACAAATGTTTATAAGTAAATGAGAAAGATCTCAATGTACGCAAAATTCAGATTCAGCTCTAGCCTTTCTAATTTTTTCTAAAATTTAGCATGAGATGCTCTGGCATATAAGTTTGGGCCAATCTTCATATTATGTCTGCTTAGATGCGCTAGTGGGACACTGCAGTGGTGACATGACCCAGTTGCACATTTCAGGGATTGTATTAGTCATCTTGAATGTACCATTGCTCTCAGTGAAATTGTGGCATAATTATTAAATTATCATACCATCACAATATTTCCCTACAGATACGTAATTCCTCCATGTCAACAACCACAGTACAAGTAATTAATATTTTTTATCTCCAATCTCCAGACGGTAAAGTTGTGTCAGTGAAAGATTAGCACTGCAGTAGTGTAAAAATATGTTCTCTAAATTCACATGACTGATTTTGTAACACACCATACTGTGCCTATTATTTTTTGCACATTAGCATATGATTGATTAAAGGAAACTATGGGTCTTTATAAAGACCCTTTCATCAAATTTCCTCTCTCACTATCCAGAGCTTTTCTTGTGTACAGTAACTATGTACAAGTTGGTTATTATAGTGGGTTTATTTTATATTACATTGGATCAGGCATTCAGTAAACTGTGTTTGATTTTTAGCAAATGAATGTGTCCCTCTGCGGCACAAGCTGTAGTTAAAGGCAAAATTTATGAGGTAGTAACAGTTCCTGCTAGCTGCGGTGTTGTTGCTAGAGTAAAGCATTGGCTTCTACTGAAATTAAATGGGATATTTTTTGTTGGTTTTGGCTTCTCTTGAACTAGAGTGTCCTGTAAATGTTTCTGGACTCTGTGCTGAGTAAATATATTAGAATACATGGTGATGGATGCAACAATGTTGGCTCAATGTAGTTGTGACATACGTGCTCAAACTGTGCTGCCAGCACTTCACCGCGTGAGACGTTACATGGCCAAACATGGGTACATTGTAAATACCTGGGATTACATAAAGAGGTGTGTGTTGCTTAATTGTTACATAGGGTGTTTATTCTTAAAAAAAAAATCAATACCACAAAAAGAAAAACGCTATCCTCATCAGAGAAACAATTAGTACTTAATTATATTTTGTTTTCGAATTATATTTCATTCATTTAAAAAGTGCTGTGGGACTTTTACAGTGTAAAACAATCTTGTTATCTGTATTTCTGTCCTTTTAATGAACCTTTTACTGATCTTGTAATTGACTATGGTCTCAGTCATGGATTTGTGAAAAGATCTTTTTTTGTAAAATTACAAGTTATTTATACATAATTACATACACATACATATATAGAGATATGTTTGTCTGTATTATCAATATAGATGCATAAATATACATCCCTAACTAAGCTTTTCAGAGACGCAGCATACTTTAGTATTTTTGAATATTGAATTTTCCCACAAATTGGGGGTATCATTTTTTGTCTCTCCCTTTTCATACATATGAGCCTCCCTATATATTCCAGATCCTCATAAATTATCAAATAACACAAATCTTCTGTAAATATAATTTAAGTTTGTAGGTAAATACTAGGAAGAGTTCTCAGAATTTTGAAACGGGTATAGAACACCTAGTTACAGTTGTGCATTTTTTGTGACTACTTAACATGGAGTGAAGAGCTTTGCAAAGGATGGAAAGTCAAGATAGAATTAAAACGCAGTGGTTTCCTTTATAGAAAAATCCTGTTGAATTGAGGAAGGATGAAATCAAAGGGGTGATAGAGAAAATACCATAAGAACCTGTAAAATATGATAGAGCATATTTTGCCATTAATTGTATAATTCAATTGCTAATCATGCTTAACCTACTCAACTATGCATGTCAATTAGTAACTGCTATTAACTGTTGAAAGATATTTTTATATGAGGATTTTTGTTCCTCTTGGCTGAGTTTCTGTAATCGAAATATTCAAGAGAACATACAAGATATTCTAACTATTATCCTGAAATTTTGTATAACACAGCAATGAAAACTCTTCAGCTGTCATACAGCTATCCAATAACATAGAAATGTGTGAAGTAACCCAAACAGCTGTAAAAGAAATCAAGGTCTACAGGGTTATCAAAACTGAAATCCTTTTATTTATGATTTTAAAACAGATGAATCTATAATGAAATTTAACTATTCTCTATTTTATAACCAGAAAAAAAAGAGACCCTGTTTAAATAATGTTGAGTGCCAAAACAACTGAAGCTAGCAAATGGGAAATAAAGCCAACACTCTTTTTCTCACAGTGGTTTTAAAAAAACAGAGAAAGCTGAAGCACGTCATGGAACAGGGAGAAGCAGCAGTCAAAACTTGGTAAACAAAGTAGACATATGCAGGAAAAAAAATGGAGCAATAAGTAAACAATTGTGAAATCATTTTGATTTTTTAAAAATATACATTCACTGAGTTTCTTGGGGAAAAATTCAGAGGAGTTGTAAGCTTTGGATTAGTAGCTTTAAATGGGAAAGCTGATGATCCCATTAGCTCTGAGTGATCTAAAAAGAAGGAAGAAAAGCCCGTCCTGAATACTTCATTGTGTATGGGATCATTAAAAAGTAGAGATAAATAGAAGAGTCAATGAAGGGGAAATGAAGCCGTGGGAGATGAGGCTCATTCCAATTTTATACATTAAAATACCTTTCACTAAAAGTAAAAAGGAAAGGCCTTATGCTGCCCTGTGATAACACAATACTCTCCAATATGTGTTTTGTAAATGTAGGTACTTCACTAAAAATTTCCTTCCTGTGTGATATGTGAAGATGTGCAAATATAGGAGATCAACCATGAACATTCATACTGGAGCAAAAGCTTCTGAAATGCATGTATATTCATGTATATCTTGTACAAGATATCCCATCCTGGATTTCATACTTGACTCCTCTTATGGCTATACAATTAATTATTTAAATCTTCTGGCAGAGGTCTTAGTTTCTGACAGTGACTTCCACTTATGTGGTTGGTAGATGTCTATGTCCTGGTCCAGTCCTGGATGATATGCTATCAAAAAGCCCTTGAAGACTTGCAGAAGCCCAAATTAAATTTTCAGTCATGATTACTTAGTGTGATTATTCAGTCAATGTGAGTTCACTCCAGTCACTGGACAAAGAATCCATGTTCCTTTCAAAGTAAAATGGCTTATCTACAGTTCAACTTTCTGACATGGACAGGACTTGGTTGGATATGACACGCTGTGGTCCATAGGTTTGATCATCATCCATGCAAACTTGCACATGCGTTGCTTGTTGCAGTCCTTTTGCCAGTATATCACGTTCCTACGGTTTAGATTTGCTCCAGCACATGCGTCGTACCACCAGCCTCCTCCAGGAACACCGTTGAGTTCCAGTTTAGCACAATTCTGAAAGTAATTGTCATTGTCTCTGTCCTTGGTGGTGAACTTCTGGTTGTCATGGAGATAAGCTTCCGTGTCCAAGGTCAGAGCATCAGTGGCATTGCCTTTGTATAGACCAACCCTGATTCGGTATTGAGATGCTTCATCTTCAATAAGGAATGGTTCATACTGTCCCCATTTGATTTCAGCGTTTAGGTTTACAAGTTTCACTCCAAGTATATACTTCACGGAGCTGCTAGTTAACTGATGCATATATTCATTTCCTAACCAGTGGTTATCTTGAACGGAGCCAAATCCGTATTTGTAATCCTGCCAGGTCCTATCAAAGTCGACAGTACTATTAGCAGTAATGTGCTGGATTACTGTCCAGCCACCATCCTGCATGTTACAAAAGACAACAATTGGGTCCTCCTTTGGTTGGATGATGTAAAGACCATCCCTGGAATTTCCTTTGGAGCGCTGAAAAATCTCAAAACAATCCCTTGGATAGTCTGAGTAGGAAAAAGAGAAAAAGTTTTAAAGTAAACTGCTGTTCAAATAGTACATTTTAGATTTTGAACTCTGTGCTTTAGAGTGAGTGAATGATTGCCTTCTGACTGGAAGGTGACCCTGACTTCATCCTGGCTGGTGGGCACCTGCTTAGCTAAAGGGGAAGGACTTCAGGGCAGAACGTGCAGGAAATGTTCAGAAATTAAGAAAAAAAAAAAAAAAAGGGTTTGGTATCCTGTCATACAACAGAAGTGTGATTTTCCATTTATGAAAGAAATGTGGTTGAAAAGCCAAAAGTTATCTAAAGACCATTCCTTTTTTTCCTCTCTTCTTCCAGTTAGGCTAGTCAGCAAGTTTCCAATTCCCTGTGCCACATGTTGGACAATTGTGTTCAATTACTAGACCTAGCCTTATCCTCAACAAATAAATCTAATTTCTCTTTAACTAATTTATTCTTCAGGCACTTGTAACACCCTTGCATTAAATTCTGATACATATGCCATGTGTTCATTGACAAAAGGGAAACATTAAAGCACATTTCTTGCTAATACACAACTTACAAACATCTGAGGATTTTCTTAGGAACAGTTCTTGTCACTCGAACTCCAGGCTAAATCTTACCGCTAATTTGCAGGTATAAGTTCAGTGCAGTGCAGTGCTGAACACCAATATCAGGAAAACACATGAAAATGCTTTTGCATTTTATTGTTTATCCAGTAGACTCAGTAGTAACTTTTAGTAACTTTTCTGCACCTCTTCACTGCAAATTAATCTCCTAGAATGTGGGTAAAATTTGCACACAATATTGCAGATGGCCTTATATAGTGCCACTGATTCTTCCCAAGTCTTATTAAAAACACCTCTGTTGATATATTCTTGGATTGCCTTTTTATTGTTTAGTTGCTTTTAATCTAGAGTTTGATCTTTGTAACTGGTAAGGCCCACACCTTGCAGTAAAACCTAGAATTTTGTACTTCATTTTTCATCCCAAGAGTATTACTTAAGAACATCTGATTATTTTTTCTGCGTAATATTCTAATTCTTTGTATTTACTTTTCTCTACTTCATGTTATCATTAAATTTTATCAGCATATTCCTATTTTTGCATCAGTATTCTTAATAAGAATACTGAAAAGATCACTTATAAGCAAATACTTCCAATCTCCCCTTGAGTTTATGGTTTACTTTTCTACCCAGGTCATTGCCATTTACTTTTCAATCTCTACTGAAATTATAATGTAACCCTACCTTCTGTGATTTAATATTGCATGAAGTATTTTATCATAGGCTTTGCAGAAGTCCAGATGGACTAAACCTGTTAAATAGTATTATTCATAGTACCAGTATTGTGTCAAATATAGTCTTTTATATTTGATATTCAGAAGTTTATTGGTATTTCTAAGCCACTCAGGGCATATTTACAGAAGTGTATAGGCTTTCCAAGGTCTTATTTTTATACCTTTCACTGCCTAATAGAATCTACAGCCATGAATAGAATACTTCAAATCTCAATACTATCTGCATGACATTATTAAATGTCCTGAAAGAGCAGAACTGTATACATGACTCTGTACCCTAGTTGTTAGAACAATAGCCTGACTCCAAACCTGATCCCATGATTTTATAGAACGATTATTTAGGTGATTTATATGGGGACGTCCAAGCCAGTGATATATACAGTGACAGTTGTATTTGGCCTTCTCAGTGAATATTATTGATGTAAAATGGAACAACTGCTATAGACAGAAAATGAGAAAATCATTTAGGCTGACTGTTACATGATTCACTTGGAAAGTGAATTTTATAAACTCTCAAGTGCCATCAGTCAGAGGAGGAAAATGAATCAATCCCACTGCTCTTTTTGTGTACCTGTTATGTGGGATCTACTCTGGTAAATACATTAGAAAACCTACCAAGCTGGACCTTGCATGCTAGGGATGCCTCAGTTATAGGTACCGATGGGTTTTAGGTACCGAGGTGTCAGTATAATGTAGATAGGATTGTCCTAAGAGTAAGTCTCCAAATGCTATAAAGTATTTTTTTTACAAAAAAAAAAACAAACCCTGTTAATTTCTCTTGAATTAGATGACAGCTGAGCAATGGTTTTAAAAATTCTAGACTTCAGGGCAGGACATGTTCACATTGCAAAGTATTTTTGCAGGGCTAACTTTCAAATGCATTGGCTGAAAACATAATAACAAAGCAATAAAGTAAAACACAGCATGCATCCAGATCACTCGCTCTCTTCATGAGTACCTTTTTCATTGGTGTTACTCAGTCTCTCGTAGCCTCTTTGGGGGAGAAGGTGGGCATTAGCCAAGTCCACTACCTCTTTGGTGCTCACTGACACAGCACAATGAGAGAGAAAGAACAGAATAAATCCAGCTGAGTTCATCAACATCTTCCTTCCAAGTCAGTCCTCCTGCAGCAATACAGAACTGTAACACAGACTGGAACTGAAAATGGAAAGATTTATGACTTTTAGTATGAAAGTCCTGAAGGAGAAAGAATTGAAATACCTAGCTTCACTATAGTGGTCAAATTGGCTTCTCCCATCTTTCAAGGACCTTTCCTTTTCTGAAGTCTTGCATCCTATTTCTGACTGGTCATCCCTCTGACATGGAGCACTGTGCTGTGACACTTAGAATGTCTCTCATTGTACCATGCTGGTCAATGAAACATAATGCAATTTTGTGTCTGACAAAAAGCCATAGAAAGTAATTACAAAAAAGAAAAGCACATCTGATTTTTATCAGAATTGAATTTTGCTTATTCCCTGAGTGCAAACTGTAGTGGTCAAACTGGCAGAAACAGTAATACTAGCTCTGCTGACTGTAGTTCAAACACTACTCAAAGTCATGGCTTTCTGAGTGCTGGGAATATTATCATGCACTGGAGGACTCACATCAGCACATCTGACTATGTTTTTTGTGAATTTCCATCTATAGCTTTAAATAATAGGTTACAGGTTTAAATCAGATTTTTAAAAAAGCTCAAAAACAAAGCAAAAAGAATTTTTCTTCAGCCTCTTCAAAACCCATAAGTATTCAATATATTGAATCCAAACAGTTTTGAGCCTCATTCTGTCCTCCTTTTAGGGTTACACATCTAGTAACACCTCCACCCAATATAGCATGAGAGCTTAGGCTATTACTGGACTACATCCTGGGGTCCTCACTTAGGCAAACTCCAGCTTGACTGAAGAGTCTATATCAACGACAGCTATACGACTTCTATATCAATGACAGCTTAGACTGAATCAAGGTAACAAGTGTTTCCCATACTCTCAAAGGACACATGTACTTAGGCTCTAGCCGAACTATTTTATTTTTATTTTTAAGGACCGAGCTCTCCACGGTGGCTTTGACCAAGGCAGAAAACAGATATAGCAAGATACTGGTCAGAGTTTATTTCCTGCCAGAGTCAGCTCAGAGTCTAGAGAGGCCGGTATCCTTCTCTGCAGCGGCTTATGTTGCAACAGAGGCACATTCCTTATAAATCTAATGACTTAGCAGCGGATTCAGCAAACTGTTTTCCAGAGTGAAAAAATATTCAGCACATTTTTTTTAAAATGTCCAAGATAAATTGTTATCATAAAGTTCAGGTTTGAGAGTTGATTTTTACAACTACCATTAGACAATCAGCAAACCAGAATTATCTACTCAACCCAAAACTATTCAGTAATAATTCTGATTTACTATTAACATACGATCTGCTATTTTATGCAAAGCTGATCATTTGACATCGGGGTCATAATAAACTGGAAAATTACCTTCTATAAAATTTGGCACAAGATTTCCCTTAAAGCAGTTTCTACTGTGCCTGCATTTCCCACTGTCATGTATTATTTTCCCTGAAAGCTTCAATTATTGTTGCTATTATAAATCCTTATATTATAAATAACTTAAGAAAAAACCCAAACCTAACCCACAATCATTACTGAACTTCAGGAAATCTCTACTTGCATCTGGAGTTATTTTTTTAGTTGCCTTGTTTTTCTCTTAGTATTTTTGAGTGAGTCAGTCTTTTTTTTCGCCTCATATTTACACATTGAAATGATTTACAGATCCATTTAATTCCGGAATAGAACTTGGTATTATAAATTATTAAGAAAGCAACTGAAGAAACCAGCACTAGGCAGGAATCTTACCTCTGTCAAGTGAAGCTTGGTGAAGAAAAACACACACAAATGAGTGAGCTCATTCTTTACAGTTGTACTTTGCCTGCTACTTAAGTCCAGGTGAATAAATCAGCTCCAACACACTATCTCAAATGCAGCAAAATTGCATCTTCATTATTTCACACTGCTCTTACTCTGGTGGACTTTGTTCTGACATATTACACTTGCAAGTACGTACGTATGAATTATAAAGTACAAAGATTGAAACAACTCAGTAACTAAATTAAATTCCCTTGATTAATAAACAGACACAGTGATGGAGAAACAAAAAGAGGTTTTAGTTCAGCAAATTACTTAAGTTGCTTAAATGCACGTAGACAGATGCTCAAATGTACTATGCCATTTTGCATATGTGAATTAACTAGATGCTATACTGCTAGTCACATTTAAATTTGCACAGAGACAACTTGATTTATGAGTATTAGGAACAAATCAACCATAAATGTTGTTGTTACTTCAAGGTTTAATGTGAATGAATCAGAAGCAGTGTCTCAGAGTTATAAACATGGAAAAAACAAAAGCAGAACAGGCTGGTCAACAGGTTTCTATTTTAGTTTATCTGTATTAATAAGAGTTAATTAACATTAATTTAAGTCAAAACTGTAATGAATCAGATGAGTTAATTGCTGCTACACATCTGAAAGTTGTACTGTCTACCTGCATGGCCTTTAGATGATGTCTAATCTAGCATTTACCCTTTTCAAGATGAGCCAACACTTAACTTTTGTGCTCCTTGATCCAGCCTGCAACCCACTTTGATCAGGTTCCATCCCTGAACACTCAAAATTAAAATTGGTGGAGCATTTAAGTGCTGTGCAAGCTCTACTTAAGGATTTGTACTATGCATAATTTTTGTTCTTCAATAATTCATCCTCAGTGAAAGCACATGTGAGGATTTGCATTTCATGGACAATTAAATAAATACACATAACAAATGTTTTAGGGAACATTTACTTGTAACATTTAAAACTCAGTGATATTTCTTTTCATTTTTAAAGTACAAGCAACGCTTTATTATACATGATGATGGCCACGGAGAGTCAGAACAGTATCTTTTCCCTGACTCTGGCCAGTAGCAGAGCTATAGGGAAAAGTTTAAGAACGTGTTCTCTCCGCTTTTAGCATTATGCAGCTCAGGGAATTTCTGGTATCTGTATGTTTAAGATATCTAATTTCTGGTTAGTACCGAGCTTTATAAACCTTGGCTAAGACATGGAAATGCTGTATTGTAGCTTATGAAATAATGAAAGTGCTTTGAATAGACACAGATCTTACTAAAATAGGATGCTAAGAAAGGGCAGGAGCAGGTACCTTTCCACTCTGTCCATATAGATGCACTTCAGAAAACACCATTGACTTTAGTGGTATTTATATATAGGTCTCACGTTACCCTGATATAAATTGGGCTACATCTTTGTTTTGTGCCTTTGATTCCTACATTTCCCGTCACTGTTTATGTCCTCCCCCATCTTTCCATTTTTCCTTACTTCCTTGCTGCTTCATTCTCTTTGATGATTTCCAAACTTTCATCTGAGCTGGCAGAGCAGAACTGAAGTGGGAAGTGTTTAATTAGAAGAGAGGAGAAAAGCCAACAGCATTCATTCACTTGTGCTCACAAAAGCATCTATTTCTGTAGATGAGAATTTTGAAGAACAATGAAAATCATTACATATTACTCTGCTTTTGATAAACTATTTTGAGAATAATTTTTCAGCCCTGAAAATTATATAGTGATCTTAAGGTAGGACTACTTTACATTGTTATGGTTTGGTTACACACAGATTTCAAAATAATGCATTACTATAATGACTTATTCTTAGCCCAGTGACCACATATTCCTTCTCCACAGTATGCTGAATTATCCCTCTGATTCTGCTCAGCTTTAACTGGCAAGCATTCATTTGAATTTTTCCAGTGCAGCCTCTACTATGTGTAAAGTCTCTTTACAACTTTTAACAACTCATGGCACACCCTTACAAAGGAAGAATTTGACTGAGATTGATCAATTTACTACTTCATCAAGCTCTGAAATTAGTTGCAAAGACACCTGGCTACTCTATTGCAACTGAACAGACTGTCTGTGTAAGGAATATGAAAAGTATCCGTATCCAACGCATATAATGAAGCCGTCAATCCTAGAAAGGGCAAAGTAGAAACCTGGATAATGATGTCAGTAAGTGCCAGTAAATATTATAGAATCATTTATGTTGGAAAAGACCTTTAAGATCATCAAGTCCAACCTTTAACCTAACACTGCCAAGTCCGCCACTAAACCATGTGACTCATCCACTTCCCTGGGCAGCCTGATTCAATGCTTGATAACCCTTTCAGTGAAGAAATTTTTCCTAGTATATGTCTAAACCTCCCCTGGCACAACTTAAGGCCATTTCCTCTTGTCCTATCACCTGTTATTTGGGAAAAGAGACCAACCCCCACCTCGCTACAGCCTCCTTTCAGGTAGTTGCAGAGAGCAGTAAGGCCTTCTCTTCCTCTGAGCCTCCTCTTCTCTACGCTAAATGGCCCCAGGTCCCTCAGCTGCTCCTCATCAGATTTGTTCTCCAGACCCTTCACCAGCTTCATTTCCCTTCTCTGGACATGATATAGCACCTCAATGTCTTTCGTGTAGTGAGGGTCCTAAAACTGAACAGAGCACTTGAGGTCAGGCCTCACCACTGCCCAGTACAGGGAGACGATCCCTTCCCTAGTCCTGCTGGCCACACTATTCCTGATACAGGCCAGGATGCTGTTGGCCTTCTCAGCCACCTGGGCACACTGCTGGCTCATATTCAGCCAGCTGTTGACCAACACTTCCAGGTCTTTTTCCACCAGGTGGCTCTTCAACCACTCTTCCCCAAGCCTGTAGGGTTGCATGGGGTTGTTGTTACCCAAATGCAGGACCTGGCACTTGGCCTTGTTGAACCTCATATAATTGGCCTTGTCTTATTGATCCAGCCTGATCCAGTCTGTCCAGATCACTCTGCAGATCCTTCCTATCCTCAAGCAGATCAACAGTCCCTCCCAACTTGCTGTCATCTGCAAACTTACTGAGGGTGCACACAATCCCCTCATCCAGATCATTGATAAAGGTATTAAACAGAGTTGACCCCAGTACTGAGCCCTCGGGAAACACAGTTGTGACTGGTCACCAACTGGATTTACCTCCATTCACCACAACTCTTTGAGTACCATCCAGAGAGTTTTTTACCCAGCAACACGTATGCCTGTCCAAGCCATGGGCAGACAGTTCCTCCAGGAGAATGGTGTGTCAAATAGTGTCAAAGGCCTTACTAAAGTCCAGGTAATCAACATGCACAGCCTTTCCCTCATCCACTAATTGGGTCACCTTGCCATAGAAGATCAGGTTTGTCAAGCAGGACCTGCCTTTCATAAACCCATACTGACTGGGCCTGATGACCTGGTTGTCATGTACATACCGTGTGATGGCACTCAAGATGATCGGTTCCATGACCTTCCCAGGCACTGAGGTCAGACTGACAGGCCTGTAATTTCCTGGATTCTCCTTCCATTCTTGTGGATGGGTATCACATTTGCTAACCTCCAGTCAACCGGGACCTCCCTGGTTAGCCAGGACTGCTGACAGATGATTGAAAGTGACTCAGTGAGCACTTCTGCCGGCTCCGTCAGTAACCTTGGGTGGATCCTATCTGGCCCCGTAGACTTGTGCAGGTTTAAGTGGTACAGCAGGTCACTAACAGGTTCCCCTTGGATTATTGGAGCTTTATTCTGCTTCTTGTCTTCCAGCTCAGGGATCTGGTTACCCAGAGAACAACTGGTCTTGCTATTAAAGACAGAGGCAAAGAAGGCATTAAGCATCTCAGCCTTTTCCTCATCCTTTGTCATTGTGTTTCCCCTCCACATCCAATAAAGGATGGAGATTCTCCTTAGGCCTCCTTTTGTTGCTAGTGTATTTAGAGACACATTTTTTATTGTCTTTCATCTCAGCCTTTTCCTCATCCTTTGTCATTGTGTTTCCCCTCCACATCCAATAAAGGATGGAGATTCTCCTTAGGCCTCCTTTTGTTGCTAGTGTATTTAGAGACACATTTTTTATTGTCTTTTGCAGCAGTAGCCAGATTAAGTTGTATTTGGGTTTTGGCCCTTCTGATTTTCTCCTTGCATAACCTCATGACATCCTCGCAGTCCTCCCGAGTTGCCTGCCCCTTCTGCCAAAGGTCATAAACTCTCATTTTTTCTTGAGTTCCAGCCAAAGATCTCCATTCAGCCAGGCCAGTCTTCTTCCCCTCTGGCTTGTCTTTCGGCACATGGGGACAGCCTGCACCTTTAAGATTTCCTTCTTGAAGAATGTCTAGCTTTCCCGGACTCCTTTGCCCTTCAGGGTTGCTGCTCCCAAGCAACTCTGTCAGCCAAGCTCCCAAACAAGTCAAAGTTTATCCTCCAGAAGTCCAAGGTGGCAGCTCTGCTAACCCTTCTCCTTAGTTCTCTGAGAATCAAAAACTATCATTTCGTGACCGCTATGCCCAGGGATGGCCTCTGTCATTATGGGAAAGGCTTTGACACAGGCTAGCAATTTGTGTACCCAGGGTCTTTGAAACACTTGAGATGGATGATTTATGGCTTTGCGTTGTTGTCAGAAACATGTAAAAATGCTAACTTTCAGGCAATATACCTGTTCAGCATACCAAGGAACTCAAGAGACAAAGTTCTAACCAGGCAAAACACATAAAACATAGAAAAAAGGTCTCACTGAGTATCCTTCCTGAAAGTTTTGTGGGTGCACAGCACAAGCAATTGCTTTGGGGAAAAAAAACCAAAAACACCACCACCAAAAAACAAACAACAAAACTAGGCCATAGAAATATTTCTGCAACTTTGAGTGGCTTTGAATTGCTTTGCAACCTTGGCTAAACACACTTTGTTATCTTTGTATAGGATCAGTAACAAAAAAAAGTGTTCATAACAGTTTTCACTTGTTCTTGAACTTCTGAGCTGGCAATGGCATCTTAAGTGTGTATTTCATCTGACAATGCAAAAAGCAGTTATTAACTGCTGAAACAAATTGCAAATAAGACTGTTTTCAATATAGTTTCTAAATATCTTTTTACACATACATTATTTGAGATGAACCATTATTTGGGAAATGAACTGAGTTACATATTTTTGACTGAATGTAAAATAAAATAGATGCCTCCCTCTTAGAAACATTTGACTTCTCAAATGTTCAGTAAATTTTTTTCAGATTTATGAAAATATTCCAAGTTCTTAAATAAATACAAAACCCATTTTCTTCATGTCTCCTTGTTGAACCATAAACTAAATTCTAAAGGCACAGAAACTCAACTGAATTAAAAGGGTTCACTTTCAATAAAAACACTGAGGTAGGACCTAACTTGAAAAATACATCCAAATCCATCATACTTATTAATGAATGAAATTAATTTTAATGAAGGAGTAGGACTGGAGGCCAGATTAGGTAAAAACCATCTCAAAGACACTGAAGAAGTTAGATATTTTCAAAGTGGCAAGGACAGATTAAATTCTACATGCACCTTATGAACTAGCAAAAGTCCTTCCTGAACCATTTACAATTACCTTTTAGAAGTCATGGAAGTCTCAGAGGACTTCAGTGGGGATAGTAGAGGTCTATCTTTTGAAAAGGGGAAAAAGTATGAGAAAGAAAGAACAGTGAGCTTCAAAACTTAGAACACAAGAGAACAGAAAAAAAATGGGGTAAAAGGATGAAAGGTAAGATGATAAGGTGATGAAAATCAGCCAGTGTAGACTGGTCAAGAAAGAAATCAAACCAGACTTGTTCTTCCCTGCTACACGGATCCCTCACTTTCACAACCTTTGGTCCTTCCTCTAAACATTCCGTAGAAAGCTTCACACATTCTAACAGTCCCATTAAAAACATCTCATAATAACCTTTTAACAATTCCAAAGTGCCATTCCTCCTGCATCTCATAGCTAGTCCTCTGTAGGCAACGTTTCACTATGCAAGGAGTTCTGGGAGAGTTTCTTTGGTTTTCACACCAGGAGCAATGGTCTATTCATTCTCCTTTGGTAATCTTAGGAGCAGTCAAGTCTGTGTCTTCCAGTTTTCACTGATAAGGTTAACTGGGGTTCCTCTGCCTGTCACTATTCATCTGAACCTCACCAAGCTTTTGTGTTTACTATGATTAACCACATAGTCTAAAAATAACACTGTGCAATGACCACAATCTGTGACTTGGGAGGTTCAGATTGGACATTTGGGAAAGTTTGTTCACCAGGAGTAGTGCAGGATGGGAACAGCTTTCCCAGATAGGTCATGAAACCTCCATGCTTGTAGGTTTTTAATACTGGCCAGACACACCATGGTGTTGGTGATAACTCTGCTCAAAGTGAGGTTGACTAGAGACCACCAAGAGAGCCAACACTTCCATCATCAACTGGGTGGACTTCAGAGATAATAAACCTTAAAAGTATCTAGCATTTCAGATTTGATACAGATCTGGCACACTGTGAAATAGGATTCAAACTCAGAGTCACGGTTTAAACACTACTTACCTAGGTATCAGTCAGCTTTCAGAATAATTTCTAATACAAAAAGAGACATTCAGTAAAATCACTAAGGTGAAAATATTTTCCCTTTCAATGCACCAGTTTTACCTCAAGTATCTGATCAAAAACAAATAGCAAAAAAAATTTGATAAGTACCTGCACAACTATTTGATTCAACAATTTTAGCTGATTATCAGACCAAAGATTTTTAACAAGCAATGTGTTGATCTTTGATTTGAATGAATTAGCTATACTGTTCAGCTTAAAACACTGTAGCCTATCCTTGTAATATGAGTCTAAAAATTATTTTCTCATCTGGGACAAGAAGCAGCTGGGAGTATTGTCATGGCAACCATCTCATTTCCAAAGAGAGACTCTGTGACTTCTGTTGCTCTCTAGCAACCTCACAGCTGAAGTAGCTTTGCTAAAAAAAATGACAAAAATGAGGGGCTTTTCATATAAAGCAATATACCATCACAAGAAATGCTTGGAAGGATCATAAAAAGAATGCTTCAGAACATAAGACAGACTTTAAATAAACAAATTAAATTTTCAGTTTGATGATGAGACCGGAAAAAAAAAACAAAACCAAATCAAAAAACCAAACCCAAACCACATCTATCCTGCCACGCCAACACACATTTCTGCAGCTGACTGTGGAATCAGTCTCTCCTGGAAATGATAGTTATCACAGATTTCACTGTCTCACACTAACTGCATGACTTAGTTTCTTGATCCTGCTGTTGTTTAAGGAAACTGAGTAGCAACGTGAATAATACACAGGGGGTGGATAGGGTGGGAGCAGAAAAATTTCTACCAAAACAAGACATTTCACTGCCCACAGTTTTCCCCAGGGGAGAGATTGAGATCACATCATAAGAATTAGTCAGACTGCTCAATAACTACTGAAACGTTTTAAGGAACTGTGGTATTAAGAACCTATAGTCTAAGAACCTATACAGACTAGAAAACCTGCAATACCTCTTTAACATGCTGATTCTAAATCTTAATCTATAGAATTTAGAAATGAAGGTAAATTAATGCACAGATGTCAAGGTTATGGTTTAAACTCTTATTTATTTACCCTCACCTCAGTTTGGTTACCTTATGACCTCTCCTGGCTTTAAGCATTCCTGGTAAAGACATGCTTGTGCAAGAGGATGGTCGCTCAGAGGAGACCATCTGGAAGTGCTACAGCAGTACAAGGCCTTACTCTGGGAAAAATACATTCTTAATATGTAAGTTTGGAGTTTTTCATCATCTACTATCTGCAGCCATCACGCAGAACAGCCATAATGCTGCATACAACGGCTGAGACCAATACCTCTTGCACTGGCTGGAGAAAGAATACTAAACTTTCCTTCAAAAGTCAGACTGGACAGCAGAGCAACATCCTCAGATGTGCTTACATATTTTTCCACAGGTATTTATATAACCTGGCTGCACTGGTAATTTTGGTCCGTATTTTGTTCAGAAGGGAGCTAACTGAAGCAAGTAAGCACTGCTAAAAATAGCAAACACAGCAGAGCCCATTTCATGGTTTGGACTTCTGTTGATAAACTGTATTAATATTCTCAGTAACACACTGTTATTGCAGAAATACCTGCTTATTCAAATTCCTAAATTGGAACATAAAAGAATTATTAGGCAGTAACAGTATGTAAACACTAACTATATGTAGAGTATTAAAAAATACATGCAGAAAAAGAGCAGGCAATGTGAGCACCATTTAAAGGAAAAAACCCAACAGTGCTTAAATCAAGTTAGAAATATAAGTACTTATAGCCATAATCACTTCTTACAAAGAAGCATATTTGAGAAAGTGGAAGTTTATCTAGTTTAAAAAAGGCTGTCAAATTTGAACAATGTACAAAAGATTTTAAAAAGAATAACAAGGTACTGCAAAGCTATAAAGACAATGAGCTTCAGAGGGCAGGTTTAGTCCATCATACATAAAAGTGCATAAACAGCTACGGTGAATGAAGGAAAGCACTCAACTTTTTTGTAATACAGTTTTAAGATTGAAAGAGGCAGAATTCATCAGTGTTTTCCTTTCCTATGTGACACTAATGAAGTGGGCTGAAAGCAGCAGGTGACTCTCAGTGTTAGGTACTGGGATTTAAGTTGACATTTTTCACGAGGAGCTACCCAGGCTCACTGGACATTTTCTTCATTTCACCCCCCCCCCCCCCCCCTAAACAGTGCATTTTATTGAACTCTTGTATATTCAGTGAACTGTGGCTGTATCAATCTTTCTGATACTTGCCTCAGGGTACACTTAAAGAGCTCGAAAAAAAAAAAAAATCTGTAATAAAATAAGCTTCAAACGTATTACAAAGAAAGCACAGCAATTTGATCAGATTTTTCCAGGACAAATGACCTCTCCACCATTAGCTAGCTACCTGGCGATAGAAATAATTGGTTGCTACCACTGAAACACTTGAAAGCACAAGTGATGTACACAATTATTTCTGCCAGCACCAGCTGAATAGATTTTGCTACAGCAATTTCAACAAGACCCTTTTAGCCTTTATAAAAACGAAGGGCAAACAGAATTGAAAAAACTCTGTGTAAATACCATGTGAATAGAATTAGCAGGAAAATAAACCAAAACAAAGGAGGGAGTATCAACACTACAGTTCAAATCTAAAAATGAGAGGATTACACAATAAGGTTTCTTAAGGAGTGTCTAGCAACTGTTTATAGATTCACATATCTAACGTGGGGGACCTTTACAAAGGTACAGGTAGAAGTATTATTTTTAGGAAAGAATCACCTGGATCCTTTAATCACATACCTGGTAACAGCATGGTTCACTTCTCATTGCTTTTAGTAAATATAATGATGGATGCTGCACTTATTCCACTATAGGCCTGTCTTTTAGTGACTGCTCCACCTCTCATCTGAGCTCCTCCTCTTTGTATGAGATAATGTTTAGCACTGCAAAAATACAACCTCATTAGAAGGCTTGATCTTGATCTCCCCTTTCTTTAGATACTTTCCCCTCAGGATGCTGACCCGCTGGAGAGCAGCTCTGTGGAAAAAGACCTGGGAGTCCTGGTGGACAACAGGATGACCGCGAGCCAGCGATGTGCCCTTGTGGCCAAGAAGGCCAATGGCATCCTGTTAAGACAGTAGGGTGAGTCTTTTTTCAGTGGTGCCCAGTGACAGGGCAAGAGTAACGGGCCCAAACTGGAACACAGGAAGTTCCATCTAAACATGAGGAGGAACTTCTTTACTTTGAGGGTGGCAGAGCACTTGAACAGGCTGCCCAGAGAGGTGGTGGAGTCTCCTTCTCTGGAGACATTCAAAACCCACCTGAACATGTTTCTGTGCAACCTGCTCTAAGTGAGCCTGCTCTGGCAGGGAGGTTGGACTAGATGATCTCCAGAGGTCCCTTCCAACCCCGTATCATTCTGTGATTCTGTGTTCTACTACCACAGTCAAGAAATTAAATCTTTATTAATACAGCTTATACATTTCCCACCTGCCAAGCTGAAGCAATCTGTACCATATCTGTGGATGGCTGAGAAAACAAACTGGTAGGAAAAGAAACACTCCTCCCCACTCTAAAAAATCAGATCAAAGTCTTACTCAGTTCTGATCCCAGGAACGGGAAGCATGACTCTGAGTGTTTAACCGGATTCTCCTTGCATCTGCATGGTAAACAGCAGTCCTGTGCCCTGACACCAGACTATGAGCTTGTGTGTCTTACTCTCCGTTCTGAAACACAAAGGGAAATGGTACACCTGTGTGTACCACAGCAAGAAGGTCCTTAATCCAGAGAGCTTCTGAGGAGAATATATAATATATATATAATAATATATATATAATATTTCAGACAGAAAATATTCCTTTAAAACTTTTTAAATTTTTACTTGCTCTGTTTTCAAATGAGTTTCACCACCTTTTCTATTACTTTTTTATCTTTGTATTCAGCTTTAAAGAATCGATTCAAAATTCAGTTTTGGTCAAAAAATGTCATGAAAGGTCTTCTTTCTGTTGTATGTCCGCTACCATTTGCCCTTGACTGAATGACAGTCTTTAATTAATTTTTATTCCTATCAGCCATGCAGAACCAAATACATAATAAAAATGAGCTCAACCGTAATCTGTTTTTGTGCATCATCAATAGAAGGGCTAACTAGCTAAGTTCCACTTGCACAGAAAATTATATTGTCATTAAATCTTCATAACCTTATCGGAAACAAAGTATTACACAAGGGTCGCTGCCAGCATAATTTGAAGGAATAACCTTGTGATTTCAAAAGTAGACACGTTTTCCTGAAGAATCAATATTTATTAGGACAGAGGATTCATAATCCTTTACAGAAATAAATAAAAAAACAACCTATTTGTGACCTCAAGAAGCTTTCACTAGCTTAACCTGAAAATAGTCTAAAAGCCAATCCTATTCCTACAGACAATTTTGTGACTAAAAGCTCCCTGAACATTGTATTATTATATGGTCTGAATCACCAGACTTTATACAGAGTATCAAGTTCAAAACAGTCATTATGATCTAAGGTCCTGTCTTTACAGACCCTGAAATGATGAAAGCAGGAAGATTCTTGAATTATTTTTTTTCCCCCCACAACTGATACTGCTTGCTTTTTGGCACTTAAAATGTAATAGTGTGGTTTGTATTTAGCCAGTCCATTGGCAAACCACACAGAACGAAGCCTCCACCAAGAGCAGGAGGAAGGTGGATTGTGGGCTAGATTGCACCATTTAAGGAAGAGCCTTAAATGGGTGCCCAGTTTTCATGTAGTGGCTGAGGAAAAGGCTGATGAGCTCGTTCTCTGGAATGGTACAGCATCTTACCAAGCTGGGAATAAACATGGGATCACTGCTTTTTCTTCACTCACATGGGTAATACAGGAGTCTGTGCTCTCCTAAAAGCTGTGACTACAGTTTTGACGTACAGACATACATGAGCCATGAAGTGGCCAGACATCTTCATTTGCTCTCTTTTAATTATTTATCCATATATACTAGCATTACTGCCAACAATATAATCACCTAGAAGACAATGTCCATGGAACACCATGAAAACATTTTTGCCTACAATTATTTTTAAGTTATTTTTTGTAAATCTTAGTATTTGGGTCAAACCTGCCATGACAGCAATCCTTAAAATTTCTTCAGTCTTTTTCATATCTTACATTACCTTGGACGTCTTTCTCCAAATTCTTCTTCTTTCAACCACCTATAGCTTCAAGTATCTTACTGAATGAAACACCGAAGAGAGCTTCTCTGGATGTGGGAATCTTCTGATTCATACGTAGTATTAAGCTTGTGCAACAGTTGTCAATACACTTTTGGATATACCAATTAACAGCACTGTCCCTGCACTCCCAGTAATTCCTGGATATGGGAGGGAAGTTTGCATGGGCAAGAAACAACTCCTGAAACGCGCCCTGGAGAGTACAGCAGGCACACAAGTTGTTCCAGGCAAGCTGGCCTCTGTGCCCATTAGCCAGTCAGGAACAAGCCTTTGGAGATAGACTGCAATTAAGCCTATTAAATGGAATCTTCCCAGTGCCCTGTCCACCAGAGGTGCATCTTGTGCTTTTCCTGCCCAAGAATGTGCAAAATGTACATATGGATTTTTTTAACCTTTCAACATACTTTCTTCAGTAAATCTGCTTTTCCAGCAATTTGAAGTTCAAAATTTTAAGTTCCTTCTGTATTCTTTAGTCCATCAGAAGTCGATGTAAACATTTCTTTCTCCTTCAGTTCATTAAATAAGCATAACATATAGCCATTTTCATTCTGACACATCAGAATGAAAAACATGCATTGCCACTAAGAATTTACTATTATTTATATTTCATATTGGTTGTTTTCCTAAAAGAAGTAAGTTTCAAATGAAACAAAAAAATCATAGGAACACAAATGCACTACCTACTATCAATAGCAGTAGGAATGGAAGCATCATTGATGAAGTCATTAATAAAATTATTTCAAACTGTTCTAAACACCTTCCAGGCCACCTTAAATGACTAACAGTTGAAACAGAGTTCAGTAAAATATGTCTCCTCTCCGTTCTGCACAGCCCGTCACAAACTCAGAGTTGCCCACTCATTCAGAACGTGGCTAAATGAGCTCTTAGGCTACAAATCCTTAAGATGCAGCGAGCTGACTGCACTACTCACTCACTGCCAGAAACAGAGAGTTCCTGCTGCTGACGGCATGCCTCTGGTGCTTACTTTCACATCTCTGGTTATTTCTTTGATCCTCCTGTGAGCTGAGCTGATTTAACTCTCTAAAACGTAACAGAAATACAGCAGAAAGACAAACAAATCTCTCTTGTTAAGTCAACAAATGGCAAAGCCTGAGAAGTACCAGAACTTATAGGCAGAAGGCAGCAGGATCACCCAGTCCAAGCTGAGGGAGCAAGTCTTCCTCCTTTTGGCGATGAGGAAATCAGCTTGTCTATATTCCAAGCAGATTCTGTACATCTTTAATTTCTGTTCTGAGGCATCAACTGGTTCAGCTTACCGTCTGCCTTATGTTATCCCAAGTAGCCTCACTAAAAGGCAACTCTGTTTTTTCAGGAAAATGGAGATGTCAGATCAAACACAGAAGAAAGACTACTAAAAATATGTAAATAAGGACGAGGAATTAAAACTGAACTATAGCAAACATTTATTTTCTGCAGAAAGACAAGCTTGCATTATATTAGTAACTGCAACAGGAAAGCTATCGAATAGGCTTTGCCTAGTGGCATTTATGATAGCCCAAGACCATGTTACCACTTCAAGTGACCAAGGCACTCTGGCTAGAACGTCTTTTCTCACTTGAAACACATAGATTCCAGCTCTAAATTTAAAAAAAACAAACAAGCTGGTACCATCGTAACTAGTATTAGCTCAGCAGCAGACCAATACCCTTCTACAAATCACTTTATCACAGGGGATTAACATTAGGCAACAAGATTTTGGGGCTTGGATTGTTCAGATAACAGGTTTCTGGGGGTGGGGCAGTTTGCATTGAGGAAGGCAGGGGAGAGGTACACTGCATCTGACCCTGATGACAAAGAAATTGCCTGGACCTTGATACATCAGTTATACAAAAAAAAGAACTTTTGACTATTCCATATGCTCCCTCCAAAGATTTATTAGCATCCTTACAATTCCCGTCAAGTTTTTTACTCTAAATTCTTAACAAAGACTTTCATTTTTTCATGACCTGAAGTCCTCATTCTCCCTTACACACAGATCAAGACCGTGAACAGACACAAGGAAAGAAGGCAGAAATATTGCTGTTCTTACCTTTCCAATAAGGAAGAATGCATCATTATGATTAATTACCTAAAAAACTGGGATTAGAAAAAGTTAATGCTATTTAATTATCATTCCAATTACTGTTAAACAAAAGTAACTCATGGCTTGTACTTTCCAGGACAGCATAGTAACAAAGCTAATTGCTCCACCTTCAAAGAACTGCTCCCTATTTTTCTTATGAATTCTTCAGTAAGATGCTGCTGATAAAGAAGTGTTTGGATTTTATTTTTTTTCTTAAAAGGCAACATGACACTCATTTCAGTAATTCCTTCCAGCAAGAACACCCAAATATCCTTGTGTCTATTGGATATATTTTAGTCAGTATACAAAACAAAAACAAGACCAAAAAAGTGCAGCTTACTTTGCAAAGACTGAATCTTTCATTGTTCAAACAAAAAAATTATTTATTTCTTCTCCAACATCTTAAAAGTTGACTTAATCCTATGAATGAGTCCTTTTTCTTTTGCAGGTTTAATGTTTCACAGCATACTTCTGAGTATGTATTCTAAGATAATTTATAGCCCTCCTAAGTGTTTGGTAGAACAAATAAATGCATTAGAATTAATTTTGCTTCAGGTGTACTTTAGGTGAATGTTAAATACCATTTTTGGAATCAGGTATACATTACCCATACTGAATGGGTACTGTTACTTAAGTTAGCAACTGTAAAAATAGAAAAGAACAGCATTTATGCAAAAAAAAAAAGATATTACTTACAGACAGTTGCTAATGGGATTTGGAGGATCTGCTGCCATTTTAATTTGCAAATATTCATCTAGTGGGAAACAACAATTGTTTCAACTTTTCTCTGAAGTTACTGGGTAGCTTGAAAAGCTATTGCAGTACAAACACACATGCTCAAAGAATAACATTTTGCCAGTGACTAAACATACCTAAAGATAGCCATTTACTTTGGAACATAATTTAAAAGATGGGTGGGATTTACCTTCCTACTACACTTTTAGGTTTTTTCTTTCATTTTTAAAATTTTGCTCTGTATTTGGCCTCAAATCATACACTGATAAAATGAATGCACAGCACACAGAAAACAGTAAGAACAAAAAGTGTTGCAGAAGTGATACATGTGATTTAGAAAGGAAAGATCCAAGATAAACATTCATCATGTTATATAGATACCTTGGATTTGTAATTAACTTGACAGAGCTTAAAAGACTTTCTGATGCAGGATGCCTTCCTTTCCCCCTCCCCCAAAAAGTAGAAAGTAGATCAGAATAAAACAGGGCAATAAAAGTGGAAAGTCCTTGAACTAATGTGTACAGGCAGCAAATAATGGAGAAATATTTTATATGTATCACATATGACAAGCTGATACAGCAAATTACTTAGTAAACCCACGACTCCATTTTGAAAGGAGGATTTGATCATTTCAGAACTCATCAGCAAGTATAAAACAGTAAAGCCATCTTAAGACTGAACTCCACTTCTATTATCTTCAAAATTTTTTTATACATTGTCTTATGATTAAGACATTCATTACTGTTTAGTACATCATATAATTTACAATAATTCTCTACAGAACAATATAGTTAATTCAGTATCATCAATAACTTTATACAGATACAGTATTGAAGCCATGTCCTCTTTTGCTTACTGTCAAGTACAAAACAGCTTATATAGACTATAAAAAGCTACACACCACAGTTGTAGCATACCGTATTTTACAGTTTACAGTAGTGGCTTTTTGATCTTTCAAGACAAATAAACATCATACCACATAACAAACAGTTGTGCAAACTCAGGCTTAGGAGGAAGACTTAACTACCTCCTTTTCCCAGAACTACTTTTCCCTGCTTTACTGCTGCTACTACCAGACTTGCTGGAAGATTTTGAAGAGAAAAGTCTTGTCATGAATTCAGAGACATCAGGCAGCTCATGGTTGGAATTCAGCATGTTCATTGACTGCTCCATTTCCTGCATGCAAAGATTAGATAATCTTAATAGCTATTAACAATTCGGGCTGTTTCCAAGGCATCAGTTCAAAGATCGTATCAGGAAGGTGTCAAATTTTCCCAAATTCTCTTTTACTATTTGTAATTCTCCAGGGTACACATTGCTACATATCTTTATGCAACCACAGCCAAATGCCCAGCTACGCACAGAAACATAAAACCCCAAAACTAAAAGCACTGGCACGTGGAAAAAGGTAACCATGTCTTAAGCAGTCTTACAGGGCAACCACCTGTTTAAAAGAAAAAATCTAAAAGAAAAAAATGCCATTACTTATTTTCAGCATTACTATCCTCCACTTCAAAATTTAAGCTTTTGTTTAGATTTTCAGATCTGTGTTCTCATAGGTTTTGCATACTTTTGTGTTTTCAAATTAGTATTATTTATGCTAAACCTAAGAAATTTTTGAAGCTGTTTGAAGGGATTAGATATTTTTATTGCCCTACTTTGTAACAGCAAGCTACTAGCTTACAGCAACTAAGTTTTCTTTGTTTCAGGAAAGGAAGGATTTTAGTATGAGACCATATATCTAGCTAAGCTTAAGGTAACTTTAGAGTTTAGCATAGTGGCTTTATGAGACAAATTAATACAGTGTAAAACAAAGAAACCCACAGAACAGCTGAACTGCACATCCACAGCATGATAATGCTTATAGTAATTGCCAATTTAATGTGGGATTGTCACCTTGCTCTTCTAGTCACCATTCAGAATGATACAGTTTTAAATGCTTCCAAGTCACAAATTAAGCAAAAGCTGTTTGGTGGCCTTTGTTACTGTTACATCTGTACTGCATCTGTACTTCATCTGTACTTAATGCCTCTACAACACACATAGTTACTAAATCATTAATTTTTTATATAAACTACTGTGCCAATTCCATAAAGGAAAAGACAAGCTAACTTGAAAAATGTAATACGAGCTTCATACCCTCCACGAGCAAACTGAAGTTGAATATACACTTAGGATTTAATACAATGTCACATAGAGAGTGACATTACAATTGAGTTCTTAAAAACTACCTTCTCCTACTCTTTAAAGATAATTAAAATTACAAGTAAGATTCCTTCAATTTAAAATTTCTCCTTCTTAACAAGTTGTACCAGTCAGCTAATAAGAACTAAATCACCAGAAGTTCTGATGGCTTACCATCAGAAAAGCTTGTCTGTAAACAGTGTCAAATCAGTGAAAAAAATAAGGAATAAGTGATTTTTTTAAAAATCAACTTCCAAAGTTCAGCTTGGTTTGAAGAACATGCCATGGATATCTAGCATATCTTCATATCCTATTTTTAAACAAAATTAAAGCCAAAAGAGCATTCCATAGCTCTGGTATGCTTTTTATAGGTACTACTACTTACTTTTAAAAAAAAAAAAAAAAAAAAGGAAAAAAAAAAAAAAAACCCTAAAAAGAATCATGCCCTGGAGGACTCCAGGAAGCATAGTAGAAGTGGGAACAAGCATGTAAAAGTTCTCTTGTTTTTTATTGATTAAGAAAACTTTACAAAAAAGCCCAAAAGAAGAAATAGCTGATTGAGGAAAAAAAAAATTTTAAAAAAAAAAAAAAAAAAAAAGGAAAAAAAGAAAAAGACACCTATAAAGTACTACTGAAGACAGTGGTCATTTAGAGGAAAAGGAGTTTAAATTAACCAAGCCCTCAAAAAGCAGCCACCCAAGACAGACAAGGAATACTTCTAAAAATAGGAAAAGATTTGGCAAACACCTTGAATCTCCATTTTCTCCTAGACTTCTGCTATTCGGCATTTTGCATGATGAAAGGACAATAAATCAGATAATTTAATGACTATATTAAGACTCCATATCATATACACCATTGTGACATCAGGATTTAACAGTCTTGTAAACTATGTGATTTAGGTTGATGGGTAAAAGAACCCCACATCACACTCTTCTCAGCACACAACATTTATATGTTGTCTAAAAATGAAGTGCAGCAATTAATTGGAAATTTATAGGAAAAATAGCTTTCAAGAAATTACACTTTATAGAAACTCTGGAAAACAATAATTCATACTCTAGGACTTTCAAAGCTGCACCAAACAAGTGAATTCTGCATTGTGCTGTTTAACAGCAAGTTTATGAGTTGGAAATGTTAGAATTCATTGTTAGAACAGCAACACCATATTAACTGAATAAATAATGCCCATTAAGAGTTCTTTAAAAGTCCAGTTTTGATTTTATTTCCTTTCCCTACCTTAAAATCTCATTATCTTTGTTCTCTATGCCTGCTTCAATTGAATGTACTTACCCGTCTCATATCAGGATCACTGGTGTTGACAACTTTAGGCAAAAGCACAAATATCAGTAATGGAAGAACCATCATCATCACCTACACAGAAAACAGCAAATATTTCATCAGCCTATTTGTTGCTCCAGACATTTTTCAACATACTGACATAAACCTTTCGGCCAAACAGTTAAATTCCAGAACTACTGCATTTTGAGTCAATAACCCAGTAAGAGTAATCCACTTGTCAGGAAAAGAAACCTGATAAGGAAGTATTATGTTTTAAATAACAGATGTAAAAGTTGGACCACTAAAGAAAATGCTTGTTATCTCTTTCAACTGTTAGAATTACAATCTTGCAACATATTGATCTCCATACTACTAGAGCAACATCATTTTGTCAAAGGAACCAGACTAAGAACTATTTTTGGAGGACATATATTAACCGAGTGGGTATATAGGGAAGGAGAGGTCATAGAAAAACTTTCTACTTGTAAACAAGTAGAAAACAAAGAAATAAACAATCCTGTCAGAAACAAAGTGTAAACATCTTTTCTCAATTATTTTATTCTTGGTATTCTCAATAACAGCTATATTTGGATCCTTCGCATACTTTTAACCTTTGTGTGTTGCTTGTACGTACCATAGGGTTCATGAGGAAATCTGTCCATCCCCAAGATTCTCTCTTTATAAAGTAGGAAGGAGGTCCAGAAGATTTCATCTGGAGTGGGTACGGCAGCCTGACAACTTCAGAGGTTTTGATGTAATTCACGTACCTTGCTCTAATGAGCAAAATGTAAATAATTAAAAATAGAAACAATCTTTAACAAAAATTAAAGATTATTTAATAATATTCCAAACAAAGTTTTAATAGTAGAGTACACACAAAACTATCTGCTAGGCAGTGTCAACTAGGCTTTACCTTTCAGAAGTTAATTTCTCTCATCAGCATACTTTATGGAACCAAATGATCATTTACCTTTTTTCAAGGCTAGCTATTAAGCAGGCTGAAACCTGTGATATGGAAAACAGACCTCCAGATCAGAAATATCAGAACTATTTGTTCAAATGTGACTTCTGCAAAACATTTTTTCTCACCTTGGTAACAAGCCAGAAAAGCTGCAACGTGTAAAAAGAAAGTACAGCTTTGAACAGTATAGCATGGCTTAAACAGAGTTTGCTCAGGGCAACAATTATCTACATACGAAGTTAATACTACTTTTTGCTTAAATGCATTACTTTGAATTTATCAATACTGAATCTCAGTCTTTATTATTTTATAAGATTTTCCATAGCTCTTCAGGAGTATTCGTCACTTGGGCGTAGTATTTAGGTTGTTACTTGCTACTATCATCTAACTTTGTCACTCTTGAACCATTTATCACGATTTATGAATCTTTATCCACTTAGTGCAACTTCAGGGATAACTTCTGCCCATTACAAGAGAAATAATCTATTCCTTCTGAATTTTTCACCAAATACCCATATAATGTTTTTCCCTCCTACCTTATGACTACATATTTTCTTCAAAAGCTTTTGAGATTTTTCAAGTAGATCTAATCAAACGTATCCATTATCCTCATACTGTTTCATCTTTCTAAGAATTCCAGTATTTTTTTTAAGGCAGAACTTCCCTTAGAAAAGCCCAGTTGACATTTTCCATGTGTACTATGTTTTCTCATGCACCTCCCAACTGTATTCCTCATTATAGTTTCTATCTGTTTGACTGGTAGAGATGTCAAACCTACTGGTACTTTGCAGACATATCGTAGCAATTTACTTAATGTCTAATTTGGTACCTCTAGTCCTCAGATACCAAAGCAGTGCTAAGCGAGAGGTTATACACAGTACAGTGTCTATTTTACCGAGTTCCTTCCATATTTATCACATATGAATTGTATAAAAATTTCATAAAATTTGGAAAAAAAAATCTAAGCACGAATGAATTCTGCTATTATTATTATAACCAGACAGTTTGCATGATTTTCTGTTTGAGATTTTGATTTTTAACTTTCCCTAAAAATACTGCTGCAGTGTTTGCACTGATGTTTGGACTCATAAAATGTTACTGCATCTCTTATGAGATACTGTAAAGGAGAAACTTAAATTTTAGATACTACATGGGTGCCTGTACAAAGAAATAATGAACTACAAACATGTTAATTTAAATGAAAATTACCTTAATAGCATCATAATTTTTCTGTATTAGTTACTGAATTGTGTGTAGTTACAGATGTACAGCTGTAGTTGTTATGGATAACATATCTGGCCATAACACCAAAAAAAAAGTAATATTACTACAGAAATACTGCAGGCTGGCAACTACTAGCATTTGCCAGGAGCTGTAAGGAGTACCTTACAGAGGTGTAACACAAATATTTTAGAATTAAGAATTAAAATTTCATTGTGCCAAGTCTTGACGGAACATTTACCAAAAAAGAAAGGAAAAAGGGAAGAAAAAGCGAAAAAAGGTATTGGCAAAAGATAAAACAGTTAACTCATTTATGTATAGATTATATTTCTGGATAGCTGAAAAAAAAAAAAACAAAAAAACCACCAAATCAAAACTAAATAAATAGGACTCTTTTTATTCATTTCCTCTGATTTAAGGCCATAAATATGAAAGGAAGAAATCAGACTTTGGACTTTCAAGAAATGTGCTCCTAGAAGTGGTATTAAAAGAAGCTGAAATGTATGGTCTGGAATGGAACACCAGACGTACATTACTGTTCACATTACTTCTCATACTGTGCTGTGAAGCTGCTTAATAGGTCGATACAGAAGCAAATCAGGAAAGGCTCACCTCATTTTGCCTTTTGAAGTTATGTCAACTCGCACAGGCTCAAATTTATGAGCAGGGGATATAACTTCCACTACATAAGATCCTGAAGGTACATCATGAACCACAAAACTTCCATCTGTCCTGAAAAAAACAGTAAGTTCCACTACATTTCAGTATGCTTCAGTACACAAGAGAAGGCGCTTTATTTTTTTTTTCAAGAAGAAACTGTAAGAGTATCATTTTATATTATAAATCTTAATATAACAACAACCAAAAGGAAAATTAAAATTGCTTGGCGCTCATAACATCAAGCCTCTTAAGGTCATAAATGTGCCACTACAGTAGCAGGAATTACCAATTAGATTAAAGATCTTCTCATGCCCTCAAGCTATTGTCTTGTTGGAAGAATCATTTAACAGCCTAAATAAAATTTTGAATACTTAGATTTTGTGTATTCAGGTGATGGCAGAATCGATTTGAACCTCCCTCCTTCCGAAATACGTCCAATGAAGTTTATGTTGCTTCAGCACTTCTGCTGAAGTAAAAATCCCCAAATTGACATCCTACATACTGTGGGCAGATATTAGAGATAACTTGCAACACACAAAAATTGTAGTTTGTGTGTTTATTGCAAAATAGAGATCTTTGCTTTTAATTGCTCCCTTTAGGGCTAGCCCACGCTGGAAAGCTCTATTACAACAATAAGGAAACTAAGAGCTCTGAACATATACACAGAAGGGATTTTTAGGTAGACTGCTTTTATTTTAAAATATGAAACTTCAATATCGAGTTAAAATACCTGTAAAAGGATACTTGAAAGCTCCATCACCAGCTGCCACTAAATTAAAGTGCAGAAGCTTGTAGTTTCCCTCCTACATGCTTCCAGAATTTTCCAGAAAGAAAAACTTAGTGTCCTCTACCCTTTAAAAATCAATATAAAAGAAAACCCTACTAAAAATAAACTTAAAGACAAAAAAGTTGTTCAAAGGGGAAAAAAGTCATAAAACCTGATACATTAGAAACTTGCATCAGAAAAATAAATAAATGAAGCTTCTTAAAAGTGAACCCTTAAAAAAAAATTCTGTCCTTATATCCTTCACACAAGTTCTCTCTCTGTCAAAGATGTACATCACTTAAAGACCTTCCCATCACAAAGATTGAAACAGTATTGTGTAGGTGGATTTCACTAACACTTTGTGTGATGATTTGAACCCCTAAGAATGCTTACTCTATCTCAAATTGCAACTGCTAAAAGGATGTTTCCCTAGAAATTTCCTTTTAATTTTTCATTCTTCAAACTATTATTTTGATAAAATTCAATTATATTTTTTCTAAACATTTATTTATATGACAAAGCAAATTCTCACTTTGTATAATGGTATCCAATACTGCTTTTTTAGAAAAAAAAAGTTTCATTTTTATTACAGCAGGGAAACTAGTCAGATTTATAAAAATGCTTGTACTAGAGAGCAACTCTTGAAATACTCAAAAAGAAACTTTGCTGCATCAAAGAATTTTTTTCCTCTTTTTGATAACTGGGATGACATCCATGTAACATATAATCAAAACCTGCCTGAGAGCTGGCAACAAAAGATGGTGACAAATATATCTTCTGATATACCAAATACTGTGCTTGTTACAAGTGAAAAAAAAAAATCCCAACTACCATTAAAGCATTTTTCCTAAAACATACCATGCTTCAAACTGAATTGCTTGGCCTTAAGTTACATCAATATAATTTGATACATCTATAAATAGATACATCAAATTAATGTAATCAATAGAGCTTGATATTTAGGTTACACTGTCATAAATATGGTATGCTTTTAGCTGAGACCATTTCCTCATACTTCAGACAACTCGAGTTCAAGCAAGCATTTGGAAACTTACCAACTCCATGGTATTCATTAAATCAGCTCATAAATGCGATGTCAGGCTCCCACAACTTGGTTATAATGGCTTATCAGGTGCTACACTGACAAGTTTCTGCAAGTTTTGCAGAGCCAAAGTTCAGTTCAATTTTTATTGCAGCAGGAATAATTAAAAATTATTGGTATTTATGAGATGGTGTATATTAATTCCATATAAACTTTCTCAATTCAAACATAATTTAAAAATTAATGTATTATACTGTATTAAAAATAATAAAATGTATTTTAGAATGAGGTTCTACTCTTGAAACTATGAGATTAGTTTTATTCTGAGGATGTTTTCTATATCTTCATATCTCTAGCTCCTCAGCTGATCTGAATATAGCCACTACCACCTGAGACTGAATAAGTTAATGTGATTCTCTACAATTTCCAAAAGCATTTACATGATGTTGTGTGAAGGAATAAAGCCATATTCTTTGAAATGGCTTTCACTGGTACAGGAAAAAAGGTTTCTCACGGGTACTGCAACAGATAAGTACAACTTTGTAACAGTAGCTTTGGCCACAAACAAACATTCCTCCAGAATAAGAAAATTCTTAGCTAAGGAGAGGGTGTTAAAAAAGAAGTTACAGAATTTGCGCCCACAAAAGCACCCACTCCAGAATTTAATGCAAACGTGGGTTTTGTGTTTTTTGTTTTTTTCAATTAAAACTCAATTCCAATTTTTTGATCACTAAAAGGCTAGCAGCTTTGGTCATCAGTTTGGTCACGCCTGCAGGAGGCTGAGCACACCACCACCACCACTCCGAGTCCGCACTACGGGCCGGGCCGTTTCTCCAGCCTTACACGGCAGGGCGCAGGGGCACCAGCAACGCCCAAGTGGAACGCGGGATGTTAATCTCCGCGGCTGTGCGCTGCTAACCGGGACAGGCCGCTGCCCCGCCGGGAGCTGCTGCCGCTCCGCCACAGCAGGCCGCCATCTTACGGCCCGTCAGAGGCCCGGCGATCTCCCAGCGGCAGCCGGGCCGATACCGCTCCCAGCCCGGCGACCGGACGCGTCCTTCCCCGCCGGGCCCCAGCCCCCCGCCCCGCCCGCCGCTCACTTCAGGAAGCCGACGTGCTCCTCCCCGTCCACCAGCACCCGGGCCCCGGCGATCCAGTCCTGCGGCTTCACCCCGGGCACCACGGCCCGGCCCTCGATCTTAAACCGCTCCCCGGAGCCCGCGACGCCCGGCGACTCCGCTGCCCCGACCGCCTCCGAGCCACAGACGCCGTCGGGCAGCGGCGAGACACAAAGCCAGAGCAGCAGCAACAGCGGCAGCACCGGGCCGGCCTCCCCGCTCCGCGCCGCCATCGCTCCACCGCCTCCGCGCATGCGCCGAGCGCCACCGGCCGCGCGGGGAGCCGTGCGCATGCGCACGAGAGAGGGTGGGGCGCCGCCCGGTTACGTACGGAGCGCTGGCGAATAGGAGCGAGGGAGCTGTGAGGGGTGACGAGGCGGAAGCGCTGTGGCGGTTGGGGCCCGGGGCGGTGGCCTGAGGGCGCTCCCTTGGCCTTGGCCTTGGCCTTGGCCTTGGCCTGCGCACGGCGGCCGTACGGGGCCCCGGCCGGGCCGCCCTGCCCTGCCGCCCGCCTGAAGGAGCGCAGGCCGCGGGGAGACCCCTCGCGAGGGGCAACGGAGTGCGGGCTGGCTGGCTGTGGACATCTTTCACACCCGGCGGCCGGTGCTCTGTCGCGGATGGAGTGATGCGCTTGACTCGTAAGAGAGAATAAAATAAAAGGGAAATATATTTGTTGGTATAAAACAGGGATTTATCAATGTTTGGTAGTAAATGCAACAGTGCTTTAACTAGAGTTGATGGCGAGGCACACTTGGTTAGTTACTACATAAAAGGCTGGGTCAGACCTGCCAGGGATGAAGGTTTTGGGAGGGCCCCCTTGCCTCCTGAACTCCTCCTCGAGAGGTGTCTGGGTGCAGCTCCATCCAGTCCTGGTCCCAGACTTGGTCAGTGGTTTGTGTCAAAAGGATTATATGTGTCCAATCAATCCTTTATATCACTTCGCTAGAGCACTGGAACAGGCTGCCCAGAGAGGTGGTGGAGTTTCCTTCTCTGGAGACATTCAAAACCCGCCTGGACAAGTGTCTGTGCAATGTGCTCTAGGTAGACCCACTTTGGCGGGGCGTTGGACTAGATGATCTCCAGAAGTCCTCCCTTCCAACCCCATATGATTCTATGATTCGCTAAGAATGTCACAGTTGTGCATGCTGTAAAGCACTTTCTGAGGATCTGTAGTAGCAGTGAATCTCTTAAGCTCGAGGCGTAACCTTTGCCAGAGTCCCTCCTACTCAAGGGGAGACCCTGGTGTGCAGCTCGCTGCCGTTCAGGATTGCTCTGAAGGCTCTTGGGCTGTTCACTATTTATGGGGGTAAGGTGATTGACTTATATTTGCATATTGACCATAGTACTAGCAGTGTGGTGAGATGGGCACATTGCTTAAGTTAGCCCTCGCCCATGTGGTGGTCTGTGTCTCCTTGAGACCACCTTTGAGCCCCGGATGCCACCATCATGACTAGATACACCCATTATGGCCACCGCAATTGGCTATCACATGGGCAGGGTTTCCGGAGATAAAGACCAGCACAGCATCGCATGCTCTTGGCCCCTAAAAGCAGCACCGTTCCTAGAAATATCTTGCAGTGCTTGCTCTGACTGCAGCATGGGAAACTTGCAGCCTGGACTGCCCCCCTTACAGAGGAGGCAGGAAGGGCTCCTTTGTTTTTCAGTTTGTGAGTGAAAACAAGGGATAAGATCATTTGCCACTTAAAATGTGGAAGGACACAAACATGAACCTGAAGAACATAAATGTGTAAGAAGTAGATCTATCTTCCTTGGCAACATATGGATCCATTTAAAATTAAGATGGTTTTGTTTTAAGTTAAATCCTAATACTTATCATGTAAAGAATAATAATTGAGCTTTTTCTAGGAAAAAGTTACAAAAAATGCTTAAGAAAGAAAAAAAAATTGGTCATTAAATCAAGGTCTAAAGTTTTTTTTTTTTTAAACAAAGATCTGTAGTGTTGTAGTTTCTTTCTGATGAATAACTAGAACTTGTTGACAGTACAATAGTATGAAAAGCTGTTACTTAGTGGGCAGTCAGAGAGTTATATGAGAAGCCAAGACGGATGTCATGCCTCTCTTACCCCTGTTTTCCCTTTATACAGCATGTCCTGTTACATCATACATATTCGTTGTCACATTGTAGCTATGCTTGGTTCCTTTTTACCTCTCTTTTATTTCAGTTAATTACTAAACACATTGAAAACATTTAATTATTAAAAAGATTACATTAGAGATGATGAACCTGGTCATCACTTGATACTCAATAAAATCATATTATAGTAAGCAAGATTTTGAAAGCGTGTGTCACCCCATGCTGGTGTAATAATGTGAATTACGATCCTATTTTCTAGCTGTCCTCAAGGAACTATATTAGAATGCTGTCACACCACACAGAATGGTCATGCCCTCCAGTTCTAAGGATTTCCTCAATCAAAGAATTTATTAACCTAGATAACACAGTTACTTGGTTTAAAGCCTTGTGAACCCAAAGAACATAAAACCTCATTTGTTCTTTCATACTCTAATCCGAGAAGCTTCTCTCTCTGTATCATACTTCAAACAAACTGACAAGTTACTTAAACAGCCTCTTGGCCAGAATCCCATCCTCATGTAGAAACCCTGACTGTGGGCACAGCTTTCATTGCAGAAGAGTATCTTTACTTTTATATATGTGAAGTTTCTAATACCTTATTGGCATGCAACCATTTTCAGGTTAGATAAATAGTCCCGTCTCTCCTCACTGTGTAATTTCCTTACATATTAATTGCTCTATTTCATACAAACAGATAAATGGGTTACCATATTTTTAAGTGTACACAACTGAGAAAATAATTTGGTTAATTACTGTCTTTTCAGTTAGGCTACTATAACAGCGTCTCATCTGAGTGGACTGCACAATGCTATCTGTGAGTTTTGATATCACACTGAGGGTGTTTGCCTTCTAGGTAAAAAGAACAACCTCCCCAGGAAGTAGTATAAATGGAAACAAAGGAATAGAAATGTCCAGTTATAAATTTATCAAAATATAACCAAATGTAAAAAACTACTCATTTTCTTGGTAACCCATCTGGAAGATGCTACCTGCTTTTTTCTGGAAAAAAAGTTGTGTCTACAGCTTGATGTCAAGCAAATACTTGGTCAGAAAAAACAGATAAAACTGCCAATCAGCAGTTTCAGTTCAACTGAAACAACAAAACTATTCCATCAATCTCCTGAAAGTGCAGCAAAGGATGACCTCTGTATTTTATAGCTGCCTCTTCACTGATGGATTCACCCCCTGAGTTACAGCTTTGTAGAAACTGTTAAATTTTTGAAAAGTTCTACCCTGCTCACAAGCAAATTCTTGGTTTTGTCTGAGTTACTTCAACCAGCCATCACTAATGCTACAGAATGTCAGCCAGATGGATGAGAGCTGACAGTCCCTAATGGGTTGAACAAAGAGGAGGTCTAGACTAATGTAATGCCATCACACTGATAACACTGAAATCCGTATCTCCAGATTCTTGTCACTTTTGGTTTCGTCTACAAACTGGAAAAGCAGAGGAGATCCATTAAATCCCTCTGAGCTCTCAGAATGCAACATCAAAATCCATGGGCATCGTAGCAGTTTCCAGAGAATCATGTAGCCTGAGATACTGGTGGATACTCTGAAGTAGAAAGAAAGTTTTTATCTCTGGACGTAAGAAAGAGTTTACAAAAATGTAGCAGAACTTATTTTCACACTGAATCCTTTTCACAGTCTGAATGCTAGCAAAACTTGCTGTATACATTTTTTGCCTATAGTTCACCATTAGTAAAACATTTTTATAAACTTTAATTCACCTTTGAACATCTTTGCAATTGCTGATAACACTTCGGCTAGTATTTAAATATTTTGCTTTTGAAAGCGTATGCGATCCTGCCATTGATAATGGTTTACTTCAATACACTGGACCACAAGCAGCAGCAGCCCACAGTCTGTTTTGCATGTGATTCAGGCAGCGACACGCAGAGCTGTTGACTTTTAGCAGACAAGCAGGGAGCAGCTTCAGCCACCTCCCTCTAATCTTACTGTGGTCTTTCCAGTCAGTCTCCTGGATACAGGCACACAGGTAACACCCAGGGCACCAGGTGAGCAGCGCTGGTTGACAGATGGTCAGTGGAGGCAGACACAGACCTGGCTGATAAGCGTAATATACAAGAATTAGATGTGCATTATATTTACATCCTTTTTTTTTTGAGAGAGACTACTTAGAGGTGAGAAGAAATCAAAATGCCCACCCAAGTAAGCAGATCTATGAGAATACACAAACCGAAGGCAGATGGAAGAATTCAACACAAAGATACTGTGAAAGTCCACAGCCAGTTAACTCATCTACTGAGCTCTTTCCTTGACAAAGAGATTTATTGTCATTAAACACAGACTTAACAAAAAATGTGCTGCATATTTCCTTCAGCATCGATTTTTTTTAAAAAAAGAAATTTATTGTAGAGTAGAATCATTATGCCATCTACTGGCAATTTGTAGTGCTACACTAGAAACGTTTACTTCAGTTTCACATAAGAACATGGACAGAACAAATCAGGATCAGAGCCTGGATTCAGTGACAGTCTTTGGGCTGTCCTGAATATAAGATGCCCTGAGAGGGTCCTGCTTCTGACTTGGGCAGAAAAGTATGCAGGCCACCATCTTGACTAGATCCGGAATTCCAGTCTGCTTCAAAAAGATTGCCAATCAGCACTCTGGATATTATCCTGACATCCCCGCGTGTTGGGGCAGAAAACTCTCCAAATTCCCTATAAACTCAGTAGCTGCCAGAATAATCTCTGCATCTCCCAACGCATCCATCCCCACAGCGCAGAGTCAGCATGTACAACTGAAGACTTTTCTGTCTCAGAGAGCCAACCTTCATCTGCCCCTTTGTTTGCTTTCACCTCAAGCTGATCAGACAAACTTCATTGGAAATTTTTGAGATTCAGATGCCCCCCAAAGCCAAGTCATGAAACAGGTTTCTTGTACCTGTCATGCTGCATTATCAGTTCTCACACCGTATATCTTTGTGGAGAAAGCTCTCTGTCTTTTCCTTAAGAATGTTACTGGGTGGGCACACAGAGGAAGATCCAGTGTTCCAGTACTTGGGATTGTCCTACCTTCCTTTCCAACAGCGATCATACTTGACAATTCTCTTTCAGGCTAACTTTACCTTCATTTTCCACCTCCAACTTCAGGGTTGTTTTGGTTTTTTTTCCAGAATGAATTATTTCCACCTTTCTGATAATACGTGTCCAAAACCATAAACAGGACAGTACTTTAGTACACTCAGCATTAGCAGTTGGCAAATGCTGACAGAGATTGCCAGTTTTGTCTGGTTGCAATTGACCGAACTGGTCTTTACCAAGCCCAAGAAATTTAATTAGTAGTTTAAGTAAGTGCAGGGAAAAAGAGAGTAATTTTCCTGCTGTAAAAATTTCCAATCCTCGTCTTGCAAACAGAACAAATATGGGGGTAGCATGATGGTAACCTGGAAGTCGAGTTTACAGTACTTTGACTGCAGTCCCCACCTGCTCCTGGTCACTGTAAAATTTGTCCCTACATCTCTGTTAAGCAACAGTTGTGCATAAACTGTGCAAGCAGAGTCTTTAAGAACTACAGCACCCATTAAGCTGACTATGTAAGAAGCAATGCCATGCAGAATGGTGCTACACATGCCCTCAGATTCCTATGTTGTTGCCTGGATGGACACCACCTGTAATCATTCACATATGCCTAGAATGACACATCACTGTGACATTTGGTTTCCAAAAACATACGCAGTTTAAAATTCTTATTCCTTCGTATCCAGTTTAAATGCTGTGTTGTCTTTTACATCTGGATTCTACTTCCATAATGCCATAAGGTGGCCTCCACATAATACAGCATTATCTCATCCTTTACAGAATGACATGGAAATATTTTTTTGCTATGCAGCAGTATTGGTAATAGACCACCACAAAACAAGAGGAGTTAGAGATGTATGCACGCACGCCTCCAGGGATGCAATCTCATTGGCATCATGGAGACATGGTGGGATGGCTCCTACGACTGTAGTGTTGGAAAGGAGGGATACAGGCTCTTACAAAACTATTCCGGTGTGTACTGTTAGCAAATCTGGATTCAAACTAAATATGAAAGTAGTAAAATCTGTGCACTTGTATATTTTGACAAAGGAAAAGCAACAAAGCTGGGCCTTCAAGTCATTCTCTTATTTATAGAAAATTACAGTGGCTCCAAATTCACTTGGCTATTTCTTGATCTCAGAAATTAAGAAATGTTTCTGCAGTGCTTTGGTTTTTTTCTGAAGTTTTAGCTGCTCCTACTGCTTGTCATCTTCAGCAGTAGCTGTAGAAGCTGCCTTTTTTTTTTTTCTTTTTTATAAATATACACATTCTGGCTGTTCTTGAGAAGCTGACAACTGTAACTCACCTTGGCTTTAAGTTCCTCTCTACCTACCTTTCTTGTACAAGACATATACATATAACATTCCATGTGTACTGCTGATACCTCAGGGAGTTTACCAGCTGCTGCTGCTTTGAAATTCAACACTTAGGAAAAAGCTATCAGCAGTTATTCTTCTATCTTGTTTCATTGTATTGGCTTGTGATTCTTCTGTAACTATTTTTAAGCTATAATTGAAATAAGCAACTTCTGTTCTTCTATTGTCCGAAAAGTTGTGTCCATTTCCTGTTGTGCAATAGCCAATTTCACATGCCAGGATGAGAAATTGATTATTTATTTCAGAGTTGTGTGCAAGGCCGGGTGCTTGGTGGTTTCCACAAATCAAGCACACCCATAAGAACTCTCTGTGTGATTTTTATACACATTTTACAACATCATTATAATATTAGTACCTCCTACCTATATCTGATTGGTAAGTAATTTGCATACAATTACACCATCAAGTAAGTTATAGCTACCACACATGCTCAAGAGAAAGGTCTTCACCTGGGCAAGGGTCTTCTTGACCTATCAGCTTGATTTTTTAGTATTACAGTGAAGGTAGTTCAGTTTAAGACACTTAGGAGTTTTCACTTTCCTGCCAATTTGGCTAAACTTCTCAAATCACATAGATTAGTACTATCCTCCCATCGTCGGACTTCCCATTCAAAGACTAATATTTTCTGGCTGTCTTGTTCCACTGGGATGCAGAAGAAAGCATCTCTGAGATCCAGAACTGAAAAATAGACGTTAGACTCTTTGATTGTTGCTCACAGTGTGTACGGGTTTGCCACCACTGGGTGGAGGTCTAACACCAGTTGGAGAACTGCTCAAATGCACCACTGCGGTGAATTGCTCACATTATCCATCATTAATCAATGGCAAACAAGCTAATTTTCTATGCGTTGTTACATTGCTATTCAATGTGTTAAACAGCTTCATTAAAATAACATGATTAGCAGCTTTACAATAAGTAGTATTTCCTGTTTGACTGAAATATATCTCTGTCAACCTTAGACTAGAGGTAGGTTAGGAGTCCTGTGGGAACACGGTGACTTTTTATATTACATTCACACTTTTTTTTTTTTTTTTTTTTACTTTAATAGTTCAGCCTGAAGCAAGATTTGTCACTTCCCACATCAGCACTGTGGGGTTAAATGTAGTAATTTTTAGACTCATAATACATATAAATCATGTTATCATATAAAATCTTTCCAATTGCAGCATGAAGTCTTGTATTTGTCATATATTTCATGGGCATGGACATCTCCATTTCTTTTCCTCCTTGATTTTCTGAGCTATCTATAAAAGGGTCATTTTTATATTTCTCATATAACAGTTTTTTTGAAAAAAAAAACCAGTAGCATAAGTCACCTTCAAATGCCTCTTCTCCCCCTCTAGCTACTTGCTTTCATCATTTGTAAATGTATTTGACAGGAAGCTCCTCTGGGAAGCTCTGTATAATGTCTGGTGAAGTCCAGGGCCCACTGGAAGCAGGAGCTTTGCCATGGATAGCAGGAGTCATTAACTGAATTTTCTATTCTGCTTTTAGAACTTTCATTTTAGGCAAATAAAACAACAATGATCCATAGAAAAATTATTGCGGAATTTTATTTGTAAGATTTACTGTCTCCTGCAAGCCTAAAGAATTCAGCAAAGCATCTTAAAAGTGGTGTTCACTCCAGGTGACAGTGACTCTAGTGTCTAGTTTAGAATTACTTTTTGGAAGGGTAAAGATGTGCGTTTAGATATTGACATGTCAAAATAAGAAGTATTGGAAAGGGTAAGCAAAATCAAATAACTGCCAGGGCTACTTTGTATTCATGCAAGAGTTAGAGGGCGGGGAGATGGTGAAGGGGAAAAGAAATAAGTGCATAAACTCTTAACAAAAATATACATCAACAAACTGAGGGCCCAGGTAATGCCCGTTTAGAAAAGAAGAAAAGAAAGAACAAACAGAACCACACAAAAAATTAAATAAAAGCCACCAACCTGCTAATCTCTGAAACTGAAAATCTTATTATATGTGATGTCTATCCCTTTCCCCATAAAATAGTGTGGTGCTCGATGAAAAAGGAACTGGACCTTTTAGCGGCTGCAGCGTAGGTATCTGTCATAGAAGTGTTCTTCAGCAAGGCCACAGAGAGCTGGAGCTCAGATGGACCATCAGCAAGTCCCACTGCAGGCTTTTACATAGCTGTTTATCTGGCTGAACAGTCTCTGTGGCAGACAAAACATGGGGAGATTAAGAAGTCTGAGCTTGTGCATTGAAAATGCAAAGATTTTCCTGGTTTACAAAGCACATAGTGGCATCCTGGCCTAGGGAAGGTGCATACAGGAAAGAAAATCAATTATAAAAGTAACTGAATGACGGACACAATTTTAGATATGTGTTTGGAACATCTTCTAAAGGAAGTTCTGGTTGAAAAGAGACCTACTGAGGGTTAAGCAAAAAGGTCTACTTTCTTAGCAGAGGTGATGCCATGTCTGAAGCTCCCAGGGAGCAGCAGACCAGGGAGCAGTGCTGCTCTGCACGGCTGACATGGTGGTGCCATGAGGAGAAAAAGCAATATATGTGAGACAGAAGCTGTGGTTGAGGCCAGGTTCACACACTCCCTAAAGCAGTAATTACTTCTTATATTCCTTTTATTTAACTGCTGGATATGAGAGCAAAATGTAGGGCTTGCTAGAGCCATCCGACTCAAATTAGTTCTTCCTCTCACTGAAGTCTTTCCTTGTTGTGAAGGTAAAATTCAGCTGTACTGCTGCAAAACCACTGCAAATCATATGGTCATCAAGAAGTGCAATGCTCCTAAACACCTGTGAAGGTACTATTTCAGACCACTGAAATCAGTTCAAGTTCTGAATAAGTTTGCTGGCCAAAAGACAACTTCAAATAAATGCCTGAAGAATCTGACAGTTATGCTGAACACCATGAAACGCGGGCCGCAGGATCTTGGATCTCAAAGCTAACGGGCAGAACCTGCTCTATAAAGCATGAAAAACAGCATAAGGATAATGATAATCAAATACTACAAAGGAACCACAGACCAATCCATTTTCTCAGAAAAAAGCATTAATGAGGATACGAAGAACTGTGGATAAACAGATTTCTCAATACAGAATACCCTCTTACAACCAGGGTTTAATTTGGTGAGTTTATGGAGAAAGAGAGAAGGTCTTGCAGTTTCTCTCATATAACCAGAATTCTTGGTAGGAGAGAACCATTTCATCCAAACCAGACTAAAGTCAGTCACCAGAGGCTAAATTCTCATTTTTCAGAGCTCGCAGAGAACTCTTACATGAGGAAGCACGTATCAGAAGTATGTACACCAAAGCCTGCAAACAGAAATGCTAAAATATGCCTCGCTAGTCCCCAAGGTAAAGGCAGATGTCAGCAAGCTGCCAGTTGTGAAGACAGCTCCAAGGGCGTTCTCCTATTTACAGCCCTTCAGAGTAAGGTAGCTGAGGTCATGTACCAAATATTCAGACAATGTAGAACGTAAACTGCTAAAATACAATGCACTAATCCTAAAAATCCGTAATATCAGAGACTCCTCTGTTCCAAGAGGCATTCTTATGTACCTTTTTTAGCAAAAAACAGGTGGCAGCATTTGTTGTCATCTTGCCACAGCACTATTTCATGCTGGAGACAACCGAATTCTAGTTTTTCAGTGTGGGTGGGGTGTTACCATTTGGGTTTTTTTGTTTTGGTTTGGTTTTAGCTTCAGTGGCAAACTTATCTTCAGCTGGGAAGCAACTAAAACTGCTTTTTAAATCAAGAATTACAAGATGGAAAGAATCCCTTTACAAATGTAAAGAGGCATGCCACTAGTAGAAGCATAAATACACTGGAGTTGAGAAGGAAGTGTAAAAATGGAATTTCTGCTCAGCACTGAGTGCATACACATGCTTGCACAGTATTGTGTGAACAAGGCTGGTAACATGTCCTCTCTCTGCCCAACTCCCTGATCATTTTCTGTGGGGTCAGAAAACCACCCCAGAAGACTTGCAGAAATGAGAATTCAAGGAGACACCATCAAATTTAAAGACCTGCACTCAGAGGGGGAGGCCAGATGGGTAAAGAATTAAAAAAACCCCAAAACCTAACCCAACAAGCCACCCACCTCTAAGCAGCATGATGTCTCCCTAACTAGTCATCAGCCCCCCATTTCTAAATGTTTAGAACTGTGGGCACTTTTAATTAATACTTGGTAGATTATTTATTTAAAAGCTATTTATATACACACACAAAAGCACCTAACAGCTTCATCTTAAACTTGGTTACTGAAACAGCCACTACGTTAACGTGCATCATTCTGCTCCTCAAGTGTTCATGTAAGGGGTAAACAAAGTGGTAGCATCCACAGTTGCATGTTATTCATCAGAGGCATAAGCCTCGAAGTTTTCACAGTTCAATGACACTAAGCTAATAATTTTGTTTGCAGTGAGAAGCTGGAAGACTTGAGATACAAGATATCACTTGGGAAACCAGGTGTGCCAAATATGAAGGCATTTTATTCTCGCTTGGATAAGAGACAAGGTTGATGTGGAGCTGGGAACTCAGCCAAACAGATGTGCTCCAACACGTCAGAGGGGTGGAAAAGCAGCAACTGGGGAAGAAACGTGACTGTTCTGCAATCACCGAGTCTCCAGCCTTCCTTTGCGACGTGCCTCACTGCTGTGGAATTAGGCACACAGGACCGGAATGACTTCCTGCATCATCAAACATGAATCTCCCAATTATCACAGGCACCCTTCTTGGGTGGTGGGAATTTTTATACCTTATCTAAAACAAACATTCCCCCTTCCCTAGTTTTGTGAGAGTCAGCTCCCTACACCAACAGACAAGTGGGGAGGCACATATCAGCCCCAGTCCTGATGAGAGTGTGCCTGTGTTCAAGCCCTCAGCCCCTTGTCATGATCACTGACGCCACCACTCAGGGGGCAATAAATATTTTTAGAGGGACCCCTTACAGAACTACCCCATCATCCAAATAGCAGGAGATCTCAAAATCCTTACCTTCAGAATTCCCTCTCTCCTCTAGCAGAAAGCACCCTAACTGCATCATCTTTCAAAAAGAAGCAAATCCAGAGTTTTACTTAAAGTACCAAAAGGTTCTTCCTAAGAAAATTTATTTCAGGAGACAGCTGCTCTGGTGGGCAGGGTTCACTTCCCAGCCAGCTACCCAGCTTATTCTTGTGCTAATGCTGGCTGTTGGCATAGAATTACTCCAGAATTAACACTTCTGTTGATCATCGCTCATTTTGGTTGATTAAAAAGTCAAGCTTTTAGACTTACCAGAACACAAGACAGAGAACAGAACCTGCCAGTTATTCTTTAGTCCTGGTTTGGTTTACTACTTCACTAATAATAGCCAGAACCTTACAACATTGACAATAAAGTTTTACTGTTACTTGTAAAATAATGGTTAATTAGGTTTTTAAAATTTTATTTACTTCTTTCTGTAGCTGGAACATGGGGTGCCACAGTCATCCAGAAATCAACTAATGCAGCATAGGCTTATTCTCCTTTTCAGTCAGAAATTTAATGTTAAACACACACACACATGACCATCTACACCTTTTAGCTTCAAGACAAAGTATTATTAGCAGACATAGAAAGAAATGAGATTTCTGCTCTCCAAACCAAGCACACAAGTAGTTCCTTTCTGCATTCATTGTAGCAGTTTCATCAGCATGGAAATAGCATTTTTGGTTTCTTATAGCCAAGAGTTGTTAAGCCTTTAACTCCCCAATAATCCATCATTTCCCTTTTATCTAGGCTAATTAGATAATAGCACAGCTGATTGAAATGCAGTAAGACAACTCAAGAGTAATAAAATATGCTGTCTCTGAACAGCTGGCTGTATTTGTGCAACTTCTTCATTTAGAAACAAACATGCCACAGGCTTCTTGGATGCAGCAATCTTCCTCTGAATAATGTCTCTAAAAATGGTTTAACTCTTGCAGAAAACAACTTTGTCTCATGCAGAGGAGATGTGTAATGAAAGCCTGTTGTCACAAAAGACAAAAAGACCAGGTATTTTTCTGAAGCTGAATTGTACTAAGTCATTCAATCCATGGAAAATTTGAAACGAGTAGAAGTGGCAACTGGAAGATCCAAACACAATTCAGTCTTTTTGAAAGTGAAGCTCAACAGATTAAATACAACTTGAAAAAGAGCCATCAACCTAAATTACAAGAGCTATTTGAAAGTGTCTGTGGGTCACTTACATCCAACAAAAGCAGGCAGTCTTGGAATGTAACATTCTCTTAATATTTAGATTTGGTTTTGTTGTTTCACAGTATACATAGTGTTCATCTAAAAAAAAAAATAAATCAAAGTGGTTGCAATCTCAGTAAAATCCACTATTCTGTTTCTTTCAAGCCTATGCATATAGAAAGCTGCCTCCTTCCCAGATTCATGGAAGTGCATTAGACAAGTCACAAGCGCATTTGTAAAATCATTTTTGTCACATTTTGGCAGCCATCACTTCCCAAAGGGACTTCAAACGGCTTTAAGCACTGAAATTAAGCAGTAAGGAAAAAAAAAAGGGTGGAAAATGTGAATATGGCATCCTTGTATTCTGTTAGAGCAAAGTACAGATGTTTGAGACCCCAACATTTAGATGTTCATCTACACTCCAATGCTCTCCAATGACTGACTAAAGAGCGATCTGTATGAATCAGAAACAACTACGTACCCATTCAACCTGAAAGTAGCACATCTCATTTGATAGCAGTATGGCCAGCCACTACAGTCTACATAAAGAAATATAGTACAAAGTCCCAGCCAATATGGAAACAAGAATAGTCTAGGTGTGCAATTGCAGAATTCTGGGTGATTATTTCTGGTGTATCCCATTAAGAGACAGTGCTACACCTCCTGCCTCCCATACAGCAGGTTAGTAGAGTCCAGCTTAGTACTTAATGAAAAAAAAATAATAAAAGAAATAGTGCAGCTATGGTTTGAGAGTGAAAACACTTTATTTTACCAAGTTCAAACTTGTACCCATGAGTGTGAAAAGTTTTAAAGAGGGAAAATTTTCACAATTGCTTCAAAATGAATAATGTTAAGTAGCTAGCCCTGTTTTTTATCTAGAATTTTCATCCTCCCCTCCCTGCTTCTAACAATAGATACTCACAGTATGTTTAAACTCAACGAGGAATAAATAACATCAGTAAGTGTTGAAGAATGAATGCAGGAAATGGGGGGGGGGGGGGGGGGGGCTCACCACCAGTCAGCTTGAAACTGATGCACAGCAGGCACACCTACGTAGTGCACGTGCTGTGTAGGGGTGCACACAAGAGGGGGGGGGGGGGGGGAGGGGGGGGAAGAAAATACATACTTGCATTTAGTCTCATTCAAAGGCAGCAAAGCCATTTACCTAACATGGAATAAAAGTAAATTGTTTAATGAAATATAATATAAGCACCAACACAAGCATGCTCAGTCTATTCTGTCAGAGAATCTTTATCTGTAGCCTACAATGATTACTGTGTGTAGGAAGGCAGACTGAAGACAAAAATTAAACTATGCTGTCTGGCTTTTACCAAGGCTATTAAAAACAGCTTCATTTTTTTTTCCTCCTCTAATGCAGCATCAGTTCAATATGAAGTTCCTCACACAAGAACCAACTGCTTTCATAAACTGAAGCATTTGCATTGTACAAAAGCTGGAATAACTTCACACCAGTAGCACCATTTGCATGGTTTTGTATTCTGAAGTAGTTGACTATGAATCACCTGTTTCCCTTTGTACCAGAAAACTGGGCACAAAATATAGCTGCAAATCTCCACACTGAGAGAAACATCCAGTCTTCTGTAAAATGGGGAGATTTGGCACGATGAACTAGCAAATACAACTAACTTGCTAGTTTCAAAATGTAAGCTTTGCACAAGATACTTTCAAGTTTCTACACACAGAAGCATCCACCCTTTCAAGAAAAAAAAAAAACCACCCACCTCCAAAACACACCACAAAGCAGCACTGTAGCACCTGTCTTCAAAACTTTTATCCCTTTAATGTAAAATGCATTAAGGACCTGTAACTCCAAAACTCACCTAGTTCAGATACCAGAAAATGAAAATACAGCCTGCTTTAAGATACATATGGTATAAGGCAGCAGGGCTGATGTCATTCAACACAGGGCAGGAGAACTTTTTATCCTTTCCTATTGTCCCATCCTCCCTGCACCCCAAGTGTTAAAACTGCAGCCTCTGACAACAGTAAGCCAGCCTGCAGAAAGGGAAAGATCATTTTAATTATATCTCACTGCAGAAGACAAGACCCTGGAGGGCTGATGGCTTTTTTTTTTTTTTTAATACCAGTAACAATTTGTAAGCACTATTCAGTAGCCTGGAACTGCAGTACCTGCAATACAAGGGTGTTCCACCGCTGAATACTCTTTACTAAAAAAGAGGTGTAACTCATTCAAAATGGAGCTATACATAATCATTAAGACATGCTAGCTTCTTTATACCCAGCTAATTAATGGGGTAGCTTTTTCCATCTCCACTCTTCAGCAAGCTATCAGCAATACCTGAACTTTGATTCTTACATTAAGAGAATATTGGTTTTGTTTTTTTTTTTAGCTCTGCAGAAAGATGCAGTTTGAAGTTAAAGATGCTTTTTGGCAGTTTAAAGGATAGGAAATTCCCAGTTCATGCTTCAAATAAAAACCCTTTCAGCAAAACAGCCTAAAGTACCCTCAGGGATCACTGAGGCAAAAGACATACTGTTTTTCAAAGACATTAATTTCATATTAAGTGGTATAACATGAAGAACAGCTTCGTGGAGGCATCGTTTGTCCTCAAGTACATACATGCTTCTGCATCACAAAAACATAAAGGACTAATTCTGCCTGGATCTTTTGACACATCCTAGAAACAGCACTTTCCAAAAGTATCACAACAGAGTAGCATTTAGGCACATGACTGTTCGTAAAGCTAATTCTCAGATTCACTGAGACAACTACACGGATTTAATGGATTTACAGAGCTATTAAGACATTTTACTTGTGTCACCTCTGAGCAGGTATCACACACACACATTCTGCTGCAGCAGAACCAATTCCTAGCCATTTGAGAACTGAGGAGCATACAACAAGCTGAGCCGGAATGTCAGCGTGAATGGTTTAAATGAATTCTTTAAGATCATAATAGAAAAATAATTTCGTAATGGAGACCAGAATCCTAACAGCCTAGTAGCTGCCTAATAACAGTAAAAAAACCTCATTTAAAATAAGGCACAGATACTAATGACTTCATGTTTAATACTGTATTATTGATGCTGTCAAAATACAACTTTTGGCAGTTAAAAATAATGCATTATTTTATTAGATATTCCTCAATAACGATCCTCAAGTCATTCTTACCTTTCCACTTGAACAAAAGCACCATCCACAGTTACAATTTGGTAGATCCATGGCCATATACAGAATTGATTATCAGCGCATGTATGTACAACTCAAGTCAAGTTGGATTTTTGAATACCAGAGTATTTAACTTTAATCAATTACAATGATTATTTCTTATATTATCAGAAATAAGCGGCCATGAGTTACTTCATTTTGTCTATTAAAAAAAAAACAGGAGAAAACAAGACCTGGTTTCCGTTACCTTTACAGTATTCTCCTTGAGGAACAATCAAAGGGTTTCAGCAATTACTACCCAAATTCTAAAGCTAGTCATTGTGTTACTTTTACATTTAAGTGCTCAACAGAACAGTAAAGTAATAAAATAACGTCATCATACTGTAGTTCCTTAAAATGTTTAATTAACAGAAAGAACATTTGAAAAGTAGTAAGTTCTATGTCAAATCCTTTTGAGTGTGAAATATCTCTCATGGTACATGACAATTCCAGCAGAAAGAATTTGTCTATGTGCATATCTCGAGATTGTCTCACAGTTCTCAGTTTTAGGATGTCCCAGAAGCTCCTCCCTGTAACTGACTGCCCTGGGAAGCACAAAACCTTTGGTGATTTAAAGAATAGTCAAATAACCAAAAGCACCAAGTTCTGATGACGTATTTCTAGATAGCTTTCAGAAGTCAGCAATAATGATACATAAATTAAATACAAAATGAAGCAACAGGAGGCCTAAAGCTGTTGACCACTACACAAGAGTTTAAAATTAATTTATTTCATCTGTAAAGCAAAAACCACTTGGGGCTATCAAAAGACTGTTCTCCTGCATGTCAATAAAAGTGCATATGCTTAATGCTAGGTATGAATATAATGCTTGTAAGTACTTAGATCTTTTTAAGGAAGTAGACTATTTGGTGATACATGCTGTGCATATATATTTATGTTTGAAGTGAACAGCTGGCACTTCGTAATTTTCAATTGGAAAATCACACTTCCTAATCACAAAATAAAAAAAGGCAATAGCAAGCCTAAAATCAAAAACTACCTCAGAGCTATTAAGCCACAGCTTTTAAATTAAAATAGTACAGGATAGCAATAGGACAGTAAAAGAGTTTATAGCTGTATTTTCAATGCAATTGTTGGTATGAATTTGCTGTCATCGATCAGGCTAGAACTTGAATATTTTTGCAAAAGCTCTCTCAGATTCTGAAAGGAGGTAGTATAAAAAGGGTGCGATCTGAATAACATGGCCTCATCTGGCTGTAAACATTTCAAACAACAGACATAAATATCTATGATAAAAAGTATGGTGGAAGAGATTATTATAGAAATTGTTTTTAAGAACTTGAAAAGAAAAAAACAGTAGATACATTTAATATATTTACTTATTTGCATGTAGTTTAAATGATACAGAACAAGATTACCGTGTTAGAAATCCACATACAATATAAAAACATTTGTTAGACATAAATTCACCATTCTGCTGACATTTGCAATTACTGTTTATCCACACTTAACTTCAGGTATTTATAGTATTTTTCATACATGTATTTTTGTATATGTGCAACGTTTCATTAACTACGTAATGTGAAACCCTGACTTCTGTAGTTTTTCATCACAATCTGAACATAATAGCTATTTGCATCTTAAACACATTGGCTTTTTGAAACACTAGTAATTAAGGCATCTTTGCTGTATAGTGCAAACAAAAACTGTCTTTCATAATTTGATTAAAACATAGAAGTAATCGAATATTCCAAAGTGTTTTTTAATTGGAAGATATTTGTGCATTTTGGAGTTCTCTTGTGAAAGAAACATTTAAAACCTCTTAATATCGATTGCTTTTGTTGGTTCCTCACAACTGGTTCTGCCATCTTGTCTTCTTTTATGCGACATCG